AGAATGACAGATCTTCTATCTGCTGGTTTACTCCCCAGATGCCGCAACAACCAGGGTGAAGCCAAAAGCCAGGAATGCCATCTGGGTCTTCCACCAGGCCAGCAGGGACCCAAGCACATGGGCCATCTTCTGTCTTCCCAGGCGCATTATACGAAGCTTGATCAGAAGTGAGGCAGCTGGGGCCGGCGCTGTGGCACAGTGGTTAAAGCCCAGCCTGCAGCACTGGCATCCCATATGGGTGCCTGGTTGAGTCCTGGCTATTCCTCTTCCAGTCCAGCTCTCCCTGATGGCCTGGGAAAGCAGTGGAAGATGGCCCAAGTTCTTGGGCCCCTGCACCGTGTGGGAGACCCAGAAGAAGCTCCTGGCTTCAGATCAGCTCAACTCTGACTGTTGCGGTCATTTGGGGAGTGAACCAACAGAATGGAAGACCTCTCTCTCTGTAACTCTTTCAAATAAATAAAATAAACCATAAAAAAAAAAAAAAAAAAAAAAAAAAAAAAAAAAGTGAGGCAGCTGAGACTCAGACCAGCACTCTGGTACAGGATGCAGGTGTCCCAAGTGGTGGCTTAACCTGCTGTGCCATAACTCTCACCCGTTCTAAAATTAGTGTTCAGTAATTCACTTGTAGCAATTACTTGTGCATGGTTTTTGTCGTTCCAGATCCTCAAATTAAAGATGCAGTTGGCAAGTAATTTTACTTGGCACTGAACTTGTACAGTTGCTAAGGATTCAGTGGAAAATAAAAGACAAAGTTCCTACTGTATTGGAACTCAAATCTACTGACTCTTGGTGAAATACAGATTAGTGAATCTTGTAGTTGGTTGAGTGCTGTTTTGTAGGAAATATTCTTTACTTTATCGTAGCCCTAAAATTCTAAACTATCAGGAACCTTCCAGGTTGCTTCAGCTAGGTGGTGTTAGGTGAAGAAGAACACCAGAACTTGGTAAGGAGGAACAGAAATAGTGCATTGTTGGTCAGGCTTTTGTTACACACAATCCTATCTTCTACTTCAGAAAATGAGCTTTTCTTTCTTACATAAGTGTACTTGGTTAGTGGATAGATAGTGGTGGATATGGACCTTCATCCTCAAAATCGAAACACTGACTTAAAGACACAGGAAAATAACTTATATGGTTCTTCATGGTAAAGCACTGTTTTTAATCAGCTTGTAATTCTAAAACTTGAATAATAAAATAAGAATCAAAAGATAGATTTCAAATCTTCAGCCTGGAACATCTCTGAAGTTACTGCCTTTGGGAGTGATAAGTGATAGGAAAGATGACTTGAATATGAGCTGGGTGTACATACTTATATATTTGGCTGTTTGCCATTGCTATAAGGCCTGCCTAAAATAAGACACTATCAAAATCAAATGCCATGTGTCTTTTAATGTATTTAATCCTCCTGACAGGATTCAGAAGAAAATTTTTAAAGATTGATTTATTTGTTTATTTGAAAGGCAGAATGACAGAAAGGGAGATAGAGAAATTTGCCTTGTATGTGCCCAAATGCCTGTAATAGCCAAGGCTGGGCCAGGTGGAAGCCAGGAGCCCAGTACTCAGTCTGGGTCTCAGACATAGGTGGCAACCACCCAGGTACTTGAGCTATCACCTGCTACCTCCCAGGACGCACATTGGCCAAAAGCTGGATTAAAAACTAAGTAGCCAGAATTCAAACTAGGCACTTCAGTATAGGATGTAGGCATCCTAAGAGGTGACTTCACTGCTATGACAAATACCTACCCCATAAACCTTTCTCTTTATAAATTATCCAGCATCAGGTGTTTTGTTACTGAAACAAAATGGCTAAGATGCCCTATTTGACATCTCACTTCATATGCTCTATTAAGAGGTTACTCTCTTTTTGCTCCTCAGTGGAACTTAAATCCTTCAGTGAAAAACTTCTCCCTTGCTTCTAGTTCTCTAATGACTATGAATATGCCCAAATCACTTCTTGCTCTTCTTAGCCTCCTGCCTACTGATTATTTTCCATTTCAATGTTTGAATTTTTCAATTCCACTTTCAAGCCTAAGCTACTGCCTTCCTCCTCTAAACTCCGTCCCCATTTACTTCCAGCAGTGACAGCACCATTCTTTTCTTTCTTGGGGTCAGTATTTTGGTGGTAGTAAATCAGTTATTCTTACCAACACCAAACTGCTCTCCCTTCCTTAGCATCACATTTGTTCAAGTCCTTTGCATTTTATTTTTCTAAATAATTTCCCTGCCTGTCTATATTTTTGGCCTCCAAGAATGTGACAGATGTTTTGAGGCTGACTCCACTATTTACTAAGCATTTAACTTTAAGGTAAATTGTGTGAACTGTCATGGCCTTAGTTAATTCATCTGTTAAAGTGGGACAGTAGATATTCAAAATTTTGGGAACATAATGAAAATAAGATTAAAAAAAAGATTTATTTATTTATTGAAGGTCAGAGTTACAGTGAGAGGGAGAGAGAGACAGAGACAGAGATCTTCCATGTGCTGATTCACTCCCAGAAGGCTACAATAGCCAGGGCTGGGACAGGCCAAAGCCACGAGTTTCATCCAAGTAGTAGGGGCCCAAGGACTTGGACCATCATTTGCTGCTTTTCCCAGGCCATTAACAGAGCTGGAGTAGAAGTGGAGCAGCCAGGACATGAACTGGTGCCTATATGGGATGCCAGAGTCACAGGTGGTGGCTTTACCCACTATACTATAACGCTGGTCCAATTTAAGGGGCTGGCATTGTGGCATAGTAGACTAAGCCTCTGCCTGCAGTGCCAGCATCCCAGATAGGCACCTTCATGTCCTGTCTTCTCCTTTTCTGATCCATGTCTCATGGCCTGGGAAAGCAGTAGTAGATGGCCCAAGTGCTTGGGACCCAGCACCCACGTGGAAGACCCAGAAGAGGCTCCTGGCTCCTGCCTTTGGATAGGTCCAGCTCCAGCCATTGCAGTCTCTGGGGAGTGAACCAGTGGATGGGAAGGCCTTTCTCTCTGTCTGTCCCTCTCTCTCTGTAACTCTACCTTTCAAATAATTTAAAAAAAAAAAAAAAAAGATTTAACTTCAGTTGTAAAGTCTTAGCCATAGATTCTCAGTAGATATTTGTGGAATGAATGTTACTTTCCTTCTCCTTATAGTCATATGAGTGCATGATTAAATTATATAAGTGATAAAAAGATTATGCATCAATCCTTGAAGAATTTGGGGGGGGGTGCATTTGGCACAGCAAGTAGTGTGTCCCTTGAGATGCCTGCATCCAGTTCCTAGGTTTGAGTCTCGACTATAATTCTAATTCTAGTTTCTTGCTGAGAAGCTCTTGCTTGAGTTCAGGGCTCCCGGTCGTGGCTTGACTCATCCCTGGCTTTTGCAGGCATTTGGGAGGTGAGCTGGCAAATGGGTGATCTTTCTCTGTCTCTCTGCTTTTCAGATAAAGTGAAAGTAAATAAATAAAATACTTGAAACCTTTTTAAAATGATCACTAGTATCTGCTGTATGATCACATCAAAAAAAAATTTAAAGATTTATTTTATTTACTTGAAAGAGTTATAGAGAGAGGTAGAGACAGAGGTCTTCCATCTGCTGGTTTACTCCCCAGATGGCTACAACTGCTGGAGCTGTGCTGATCTGAAGCCAGGAGCTTCTTCCAGGTTTCCCGGATGGGTGCAGGAGCCCAAGGATTTGGGCCATCTTCTGCTGCTTTCCCAGGTCATAGCAGACAGCTGGATCAGAAGAGGAGCAGCAGGGACTAGAACCGGTGCCCATGTGGGATGCCAGCGCTTCAGGCTAGGGCTTTAAATCGCTGCGCCACAGCGCTGGCCACAACACATAAAATTTTAAATATAAAATTGTTTTGTCTTGGTCTGTTTTTAATAGTTGTTTTGAGATATTCATATACCATGAAATTCACCACAGAATTGTGCAACATCACCAACCACTCTCTAATTTTAGAACACTTTCATTACTCCAAAAAGAAATCCCATACCCATTACTAGACACTACATCTTCCATCCGTCCTGCAGCTAGTAATCTATTTTCTGTCTCTGGATTGGCAGGTACTAGACAGTTCATATAAATGGAATAGATTCTGACTTTTTGTGACTGGTTTCTTTCACTCAGCTAGTGTTCAGGTTCATCATGTTGTAGTACATATCAGAACTCCATCCCATTTCAAGGCTGAACATTCCATTGTATGAACAGATCACATTTCCCTGCCTCTACACATTTTGTTTATCCAGTCTTTACTTAGTAGACATTTGGGTTATTTCCATTTTTTTTACTTTATGACTAATGCTGTGAACATTTGAAGTACAAATTTTTAAGTGGATATATGTTTTCAGTTCTCATGTATATGTGCCTAAGAGTGAAATTAGTATAAAATCTATTTGAGGGATTTGAGATTTCCTTCTATATTGGTTCTATATGGAAATTCTTTGTACTGGTCCTTACAAAGCACTGTGCTCTCTAAGTTACTTGGCATATCAGAGAAACCAATTGAAAAGAGCGTACTCTCACAAACAACAAGACTAAATGCTGTGCCCCCCCCATAGTAAAGCGTGCTTGTATTGATAGCAGAACAAATAATCCCCAAATCTCAGTGGTTTACTCTGCAAAGCATTTATTTTTATTGATTTTATATATTGGGTGGCATTATAAGAATCAGAAAAGGGAAACCTTCCCAAAATATTAAAGAAAATTTAAATTAAGTTAAATACTTGTTTCAGGAGTTTCCTGTCTACTACTTTGGGCTTGAGCCTTTAGAGTGAAGGTAAAAATGTTTCCTATTCTATTGTTCTCCCTCCCCAGCCTAAACTGAACTGAGGGAGAGAAGGAGGTCTGCAGCAGCTTAGGGAATGATGTTTCTGCCTCTGATGCCACTTAGATCAGGAGCAGATTTGACGCACTCCCTTACCTTTATGGAAGGGAATGGAAGGAAAATGGCTGAAGGAGAGCTCAGCATTGGGCATCACATGGCTAGTCTCTCAGAGATCACTAATCACTCTCCCTTTTCTTGTTTTCCAGTGAACGAGATAATTGGGAGAGACATGTCCCAGATTTCTGTTTCCCAAGGACCAGGGGTGAGCGGAGAGGCTCCCCTCTCAGATCCCAAGTCCCTGGATTTAGGAAGATCTGACGGGCTCTAGCCGGGCTCACGGCAGCCTTTGTCCGCCATCAACTTCTCAGCATGTTTCTCTCCTTGGATCTTGGGTTTCCAACTCTGCAGCCTTCAGGACCAGTGCCAGGAGTTGGACTCACCATTTTTGGGGAAAGCCGTGTTCCTCCACTTCAGGCCTTGGGTAGATTTTGTAAAAGAACAGGAGCAGCATAGGCTGTTCATGCTTTGGGAAAATGAGCTTTGCTTTTTTAAATATTTAAATAGGATACTTTTATATGATGGGTGCTTTGAGTGTGAATGCAGCAGGCTCCATTTCTGAGGTGCTGCTTTTGCAGGTGACCTGGTTGCTTATCTAGGATTGATGATTTGTAATGCTTTCTGGTCATTTGAAGGGCCCTTTAGTTTTGATGATATTTTTAAAATAAGAACTTTTGATAAAACCTTCCAGAGGCAAACAAAATTAAAAAAAATTATCCCAAGCCCACATCTATGCCTCAGAAACTCAGCATGTTTCCTGAAGCCTTTCATAGATTCATAGGAAATAAAGCCAAATGTAGCTCTTACCTCTTTATAAAAGTAAACTGTTGTTAGATAAAGTGAGAAGAGACCATTCCATCATTGAAATGTTGGAATATAAAGACATTCCAAGGCATAGCCATTTTGTAACTTTCTAGGTAATCTTCCTGCAGTCTCTCCGTACTGGTTCCGTGTTGAAATTGCTTTTTTTCCCTTAGGACCTTAGCTACATATAAGGAGACTTTGGAAGGTGGGGTTTTATCTTGGTAGTTTTCATTTCTTGCCATCCTAAAAACTAGTAGGCTATGGAGTGCTCCGCTTGTTTGTGTCCTCTTTTCCCAGAACCTTTTCCAATGGAGAGCACCTGCCTTTGGCTGTCTATAACCTTTGAAGTCAGTCCCATGATGGTTAAAGCAGCTTCTTAGTCCCAACTCTTCTCTAGAGGCTGTGTCAGGAGGTAAATATAAATGAGCTATGCATCAGGATAGGCAGAGAAAATGCAGGACACTAGATGGGAAGGATTTAAGATTCACACTGGCCATGGTTATCCTTTAATGTTTACAGCCTAAAATGATTCTGGCCCATCCAGTCCCAACTGTATGACCTAAAAACCAGCCTTTTCCCCAGAAGGCATCACATCCAAAAATGAGGTGGCATCATAGACCTGGCCCTCTACACCAAAGATGTCCTGGTGCTGCTGCTGGTGAGACTGGCATCCAAGGCAGGGGCCAGCAGAACTCCAGCCTGCTGTCTACCAAAGGAGGTGCCCAAACTGGGCACTTTTTCCAAATCCTGCTCTTACCCCCACCCTAATGAGATTTGTTAACCTATTCCTGGGCCTAATTCAAAGCCCCTGTCTTTGTGATGTTTTCAGATGGATAATGTACTTTCATTTATTCAGGAAGCAAATTTTTTGAATCCCTACATGTCACTATGCTGGGTTGGTTGAAAACTTGATGTTATTCCCAGGGATTGTGGGCCCTACATGAAGGACACCCTGTCTGATGAAGCTAAGGGGCCAGCATGTTGCCCATCACCTCTAGTCAGCAGGGAGAAGCTGTTCACCCAGGATGAGAAAATATGTCTAAGGGAAGAAAAAAACAAAAACAAAACAAAAAAACCCCACCACGTGTTATTTTAGATTTCTACCCTAAAACTAGTAACAGAAAAATGTCTACTTCAGCAAATCACTCTAACCCTTCTTGAAGCTGGCTGAAACTTGATCCTGGGTTTGAAAACTCAAGGCCTCTTTTGGAGAGGCAATGGGTTAGCTTCTCAGGTGAAGTTCCAGAGACGTAACCAGACTTGCCTCCACCCTCCTGCCCCTGGTTAGCTGCCTCACATGGGGTTCTTGCAAGAGCTCCCCTTCCAAGACCCTTTGGGGGTTGCTTTGCTGCCCCCAAGAATAAAAAGCCTCTATGATCCAGAGTTGCTATGCACCAAATTTTGATGCCTTTTAAATGCCTTGATGCCTGTAGTATTAGAAGTGCTTTCCTATTTAAAATAAAGGTTAAATTTTAAAATAGAGCTTTGTATACTATGTAAGCCGTTTTATATCAGCTTTATAAAAGCTTTCATGTAAGAGTCAATATTTTTTGGCTTTGCAGATAGACTTAAATTTTTGTGCAACATAGTGATGTTAAAAGCACACATCCACTGGACTATGCAAATTGACTTCTAGTAGCAGCACTGAGCAGCTGGGCATGTGCTAGCATGAATCCCTTCCCTCTCTAACCCATGCTAGATCTTGGGTTGAGGAATGGAATGAGCAGCCTTCTGCTTTCTGGAGATGCACAGAGAAACATGGCTGAAAGAGCTTTGAAGGAAACAGATGTCCTCAGGGTCACGTGTGGTGTTGCTGCCCAGGGTACAGCCCTTTCCCATCCAGGGCCAGCCACTACCACCAGACCTTTGCTGAGCAGGGCTGTGAAGCCCTGGTTCTGACACTCAGAACAGATGGTCATCTTAAAGGCTCAGATGGGCTCAGATTGAAACCTTGTATTTTATAAAATGGATGCTTAGTAAAGAAATGGTTCTCAGTTATGTTTACAGCACTTGAGATTGTGTTTTCTTGTACATTTTGTATTTTAAAACCTTTTATAGGAGTACAGTACTCCTTACACAAATACAAAGGGAAGAAGAGCCAGCAGTTCAGGCTCCTCAGTTATAGTGCTGAAATAATAAATGGTGACAGGCTGACAGTTTGCTTGGAATTTGTCTGAATTTTCCTCCGCCTGGGGCTGATGTGGAGCACTTCACTCTGGGGGCAAAGCTAAAGGCACTGCAGCTTTTAAAAAGTCCACTTGGTTGGGAACTTCTGTTTGTTTTATGGAGGAGAGTGTAAAGTTCCAAATTCCTCCCATGGCTTCAGTTGTGCACCCTTTAACGGGTGCAAAGGACATTCCATAGTGTCTTGCTGGGTTTAGCGTAACTGGCCTCCCCAAGATGTGCGTGAAAAGTTGGCAGCAAATCTCCCTTTAAAGTTCAAGCCTGAGTCTTCATGTAGGGGCCTCCTGCCCCCTAGTGTCCTTTGGGAATTGTGCAGCACAGTTCATCAAAATAGCTTGTGGTTTTGCCATCCATGTGTCCAGCTGGGTGGGGGCCGTTCATGGTCCAACGTGGTCTGTGAGGTCCAAGTATCCTGAGGGCCAGACTTTCTCTGCCTCTCAGCCCTCTACCAAGGGTACAGAGGCTCAGATGTACTCTTGATTCTTCCAGGAGTCATACACTGAAGGTACCAGGGCTTACATTTTAAAATGAAAAGCAAGGCTGCTATGATCTGTCAGCCCCACAGTGTCTGGGCATGAGCCTTAGCCAGGGCAGACCAAAGGCTCTCCAGCTGCCACTCAATAGGCCCAGTTAGGCCATTGGGAGTAGGGTAGCCACATCCAACTCCCAGCTTTGCATGCAGGGTCTAGCCATCACCTTTGGGGTGAGCAGGCAGAGAAATAAGTAGGAGATGGAGCTGGGTCTGGTCTCCTGGGTGCTTTACGAGCGCTATGGCAAGTCAGAAAGAAGCCACTGGTTGAGTGCTGGGCCTCTGGACACTGGAGAGGCATGTTGGATCGGCAGCAGCCAGCTTACCTCCTGGGCTCCTCATCTACAAACACACCCACTCCTTGGGAGTTTGTAACACAGTGCGAGGTGGGTCACCAACAGGCATCAGACTGGTATAGTCATCAGGGGCTAGCTACAAAAGGGACACACCAGTGGGTTAGGGCAAAAGTCTAGGCTCAGCCAGGCCCTCAAGCCCTCTAGCCATACCACCTTACCTGGTAGGTTTGGAAGACACTGAGCAGATCCTTCATGCCAGCTGTGTATGGGACACCCTGCATGCGGACCAAGGCTCCTGGCTGGGACAACACTGAGGTGGGAGCAGAGGCCAGGGCAGCAGGAGGTGTGGCGAGGTAGCCCACAGTAGTGGGAGAGACAGGGGGACTAGGATGGGAAAAAATGAGGGTTTTAGCCTACTTGTGACCCAGACCAAGACCTGCCTCCCTAAAACCCTTGATTCTTCAGGGTTATCTCCAGTTTCTTTTGTAGGTGGCATCAGCCATTCTATACCTGTTATTCCTCTGACATTTCAGAATAAAGTCCAGTCTCCAACAGACCTTGAGTTATCTGCCCGAGAAAGGGCATCATAACCCTCCCTCCAAACCAGATCAAGGAGCTGGGATTGCCTGTTAGGGTTTTCTTGGCAATAGGATACCTGGGGTAGTAGGCTGTATAGTTCATGTAGAGTTGAGTGGCTGGCCCGGGGTAGTAGGCAACAGGGGTGGGGGCAGCAGGCACCCTGGCGGCTGGGAGCAGTGCCGAAGAGGAATAAAGAGCAGCTGTGTCGGTGGGAATGAGGGTTGGGGTTGCCTGGAAGGTAGCATAGGTGGGCGGCGAGAGGCCTGGAGGCAGAAGTAGGTAGAGAGTACATCTGCAAGGAGCCCAGCACTGCCCTGAGTGGGACAGCCTGGAAAGCAGGGGTTTACAACAGCCTGGCCCCCACCTGCCTCCTTACTCCTCAACCCCTGGGGCACTCACAGGGCAGCTTGCAGGGTGGAGGGGACATGCCACTGCGGCCCAGGGTGCCCCCCATCAGCACACGGCTCATCTCCTCTGTAGAGCAGGGGACCACCTCTACGTAGCGTTCCTTCATCACCTTCTTGTGGCTACGCTGAGCAGCAGCTAGGGCCCGCTCTGCTGATGTCATCTGGATGAAGGCATCGCCTGACGGCCGGCCCTGTGCATATGGTCTTGTAAGCAGTGGGCTAGGTTTAAGGGTGCCTTACCCCTAACACATACTGCTTCCTATGTTTATGTCTCCCTACTGGCAGCAGCCTTACCTGCTGGTTGAGCACCATGTGCACACCATGAGGCCGGATATCAGCTGCTGCCTCCCCCAAAAAGCTCAGGATATCTTCGATGGTGGCTGTGTAGGGCAGGCCTCGAAGGCGTACACAGTCCCTCCCCGTCCCAGGTGCCAGTGGGAAGGGGAGGGGCAGCAGTGGAGCAGTCAGTGTGGGAAGGAGTGAGCTGGATGCATAGCGGTTCAGGACCTGGTAAGCAAAGCAGCAACAGGCTGGTCATAACCAAGTGGGGCAGTAGCACAAGGAGGGACCAAAGGGGCGCCCTAGGAAGCAGCACATCTGGGTTGGGAGCCCTGGGTGCTCACCTGCTGTACCTCAGCTGCAGTGCTCCGGAAGAGTTCAATGTAACGCTTACCCAGCATGCCCTTGTGCCTGCGCAGTGCAGCCTGTGCCAGCTCTTCACAAGCAAAGAGTGCAAAGGCATCACCAGTTGGCCGGCCGTCAGGGTGGCGCACAAAGAGCAGCCCGTCAGCACCCCCAGTCACTGGGCACTCCGGCCCTAGGAAGCTTAGCACATCCGTTGGCCCAGCTGAGAAGGGGAGTCCTCGCAGCCGCAGGATCACCTGGTCTTCCCGTGACAGGAAGCGAGCCACCTCTAGTGATGTGCCTGGGTGGGGGGTGTGGGAGTCACCTGCTGACTTCATTCTTGCTCTTCCAGACACCCACCCACATAGAAAACAGAGGTAGGGGCCGAGGGGGTGTGGCAGGGAAGTGGGTTATAGATCAAGAACCAAGGGAGCTAGGCCCTGCTGTTGGGGGGACACTTACCCCCTGCGATCTTCACAAACTCCTCCCCTGTTGCTTTATATACCTGTGAGTACAAAGGGAACAACCCTTGGGTCTGGAGCCTGGCTGAGCCTTGCCCTGCTCCACTCCCAGCCCAAAGCCCCACCTCAATATAGCGGACTCCCATGTGGTGCTTGTGTCTCTGCAGTGCCAGGTCCCGCTGCTCGCTGTCCACAAAGCGGATGAGGGCCTCGCCATTTCTGCGGCCCTGGGCGTTGAGGCAGAGTGCTACACCACCCCTGCAGAGCCAGTGCTGTTAGGGCCTCCTGGGTAGGCTTGCCCTTTTGCGCCCACCCAACCTGCCACACCCACCTGGCAATGTTGAGCCCTTTGAAGAAGCGAGCCACATCCTGGTCTGATGACTGCCAGGGCAGTCCACGGGCCCGGACCACAGTCTCACTGTCCACCACATCAGCCTTGCTGCTGTGGGGGCAGGACATAGGTCAGAGCTGTCCAGCTGTTGTCACCCCCACCCCTGTTCCAAACTCACCAAGGCCCGGTCTCGTATTTCTGCTTTATCACCTCGGGCTTCGAGAACAATTGACCTGAGAGGAGATGGCATGGGTGTCAGCAAGGTCTGGTGGAGGAGAGGTCTCTCCACCAAACGCTGCAAAAACAGGGCAGTTGAAGCGATGCAGAGATGGCAAATGGTCTTCCATGTGGTCTCAGAGAAGGCCAAACCGGGGAGGACGATGTTGAGGAGTGACAGGCAGGCTTCACCCAACCCTGAGAGCAGGTGGCAGGCCCTGAGGGAAACCTTACCACTGGGCCCTTCAAGCAGGTGGAGGATGACAGCCACCATTGTCTTCACTTCCCAGACCCCAAAGTCATCCTCTGTGGCATCGGTCTCAAGTCCCAAGTCTGTGGGCAGAGAAGTAACAAATCCCAGTGTGAGAGTCCCTGGGGGCTCAGCATGAACACTGATCTGTTCACAGCTGGGCTCAAATCCCCTCCACAGACAAAGGCCAGGAAACACATTTGTTTTGGTCCAGCTAAAGCAGAGACGTGTAGACACACACCCACACTGCAAACACACCCCAACAGACACAAAGACATGGGGCACACTCAGCAACTCAGCAGATAATGCAGACTTAACATGTGTTCATTTAACCTGTCCCCAGCATGCACATACTCAGACACACGCAGCCTGTAGCCACCCTCCACCGTAACCCCGCTGGCTCAGATACCCTGTGCCATGGTGGCCACCGTGAGGTCCCTGGCAGGGCAGGTGCTTGGGTGCTGCATATGGAACTCTCTGCGGAGGTCGTAGAAGGAGAAGAAGGTGTCGGGGAGCACAAGGTTCTAGGGGCACATGGGAGTGGGTAATGAACGGGGGAACTAAGGTGCCTTGCCCACCCCCACAACATGGGGTCCAGAAACCCTATCCCACTGTGCCCTCTGTAGCATACCTTTCTGGAGGCCTCTGGGTGCAGGACCTGTCGCAACAACTGCTGCCCATCAGTGCAGAGTACGTAGGGGCCCCCGCCCAGCAGAGCCACATCCCCACTCACCAGCTGTGAGAACTGGGGACAGGGAGTGGGGAGAGAGAGACACACACATAGACTCACAGCTGGGCAGGCAGGAACTGGCGGTAGGAGGGAGGCTGCAGTTGCAAAGCTGGTTCAGCCAGATGTTCAGCCCTACCCAGCCTGGGGAGGAGGAGGCCACTCCTGCTGGGCCAGGCAGTGTCCCAACCCCCCAACCCTGCCCCAGTCCACTGTCACCTCCTCCAGGCCAAATGAGGGCAGTCACACATAACCCAAGCCCCCATCACACACACTCCAGGAGTCTGGAGTGGAGCCAGAGCAAACACCTGGTGGAGTGGGAAAAGCAGGTGGGGAGGGGCGGGGCAAAGCAGGTTAAACCTGTCTCTGACCAGGCACCACCTTCAGACAGGTGGGGGAGGCCCAGGCCTGCCTGAGGCCCAGAAGGCTCATGGTCAATGGCAGCCCCGCCTCCGGGTCCGGCCAACGAGGGACAGAGAAACTCCAAGGACAGAGCACCATACTTGGACACCAGGGGCAGCCTGAGCTTTGACCCACACCCTATCGACCGGCTGGCACTGAGCTGTTTGCTCATAGAGGGGGTGGCACTCCCGAGGCTGCCAGCTCCTCCCCCAACCTCCATGGCTGCCGGAGAACAGGTATAAGCACAGACCCACAAGCGCCCCACCCCCACCCACCCCTGCCAATTCGGTGACACTTGACAACCTAAGGCTGGCAGAGGACGGCAACCCCTCCAGCTCTCCCTGGCGCACTACCCAAGTGGGGCCTACACCGGGAGCCCTTCTGGAACCAACTCGGATTCAGCAACTGTGTTTCCTCATCGGGAACCACCATAGTTGGAAGATGAAAGAACTGGTGCGTGTAACGAACTTAAACTCATTACACTCGAGAGGCAGGCGCAGGGCTGACAAGGAAAAAGAAAAACAGCACTGGGAACCCACTCCCACCTAACCCGGAGCCGCAAGGCACCCCAGGCCTTTGCGCTCAGCAAAGCAGGTAGCCCCGAGCCGGGGTCCGAACAGCGCCCACGCCTGGCCAGTCGGCTGGGACAGGCCTGGACGAGCAGCTTAAACCTGGCGGCGTCTGCCTCTGGGGCAGACACCGCCCTACGCCCCCGCTCCAGCGGCTCCCAGGCCGGCGGGCGGGTGGAGGACGCCGGCGGCAGGAACGAGTGACCTGTGGCCAAGTCTGGCCCCTGGATCCTACGCTTCCGGCTGCCGGCTGCTCTGGGAGACCTGAGCCCGCAGGTTCCCAGAGGCGCTCCAGCCTCGCTCCCCCGCCGCCAGTGGACTTGGGGATGGATTCCCGACGCCGCTACCCCCCAACTCCTCCAGCAGGGAGCGGATCCTTGCGAAGGCTGAGCAGTAAAACGCCACCCCCCCGGGAATGAGGAGCACACGCGGGGGTCGTTCAAAGTTTCAAACAAGACCCGGCCCTGCCGCCGGGCTCGTTGGTGGTGGCGCCCCGGGCCTCGCCTGCTGTCGCCTCTCTCGCCGACAAACGTCCCGGCGACCGGGCGGTGCCGCCACCCTCTCGGGCCGCGGCGCTCACCTGCTGCAGCACCTTGTCCAGCGACTCGGCCCGCGCCAGGCTGTCGGCACTCAGGCCGCTCGCCTCGCGACACTGCGGGCTCAGGGCGGCCGCCTCGGCGCGAACCAGCGACTTGTGCAGCGTCCCCACCTGAGAGCGGCGGAGGAATCCGATCAGCCACCGCGCCCCGCAGTGAGCTCTCCGGCCGACCCCCACCACCGCCTCTCCACCTTACCTGGCGGCTCCGCGGCTCCACCACTTGCCAGACCAGAAGGATTAAGTCCGTCTCGTCGGAGCCCAGGTCCGGTCCCAGTGCACCGGCGGTGGCCCCGAACAGGACGACCAATGACCCGGGCTCGGAGCACGGGTCCGCCGCGGGGTCTACAGCGGGATCTGGGCCTGGGGGCGGGGGCGGGGGAGGCGGCGGCGGCGGAGTCATGGCCGCGGAGAGGGGGGCGCTCGGCCAGACACACGCGGACCGACGAGGCGCACGCACGCACCGACCGACGGCGGACGCGGAGGAGCTTGGGCGGGACGCGGTGTGTTGGGGGAGGCACCTGCGGCCGGGCGGGCGCAGTGGGCGCCGCTGAGACCCGCCCGCGGCGCCCCGCAGGGCGGGGCTGCTGCCGGCCCCCGCCCTCTCCGGGCGAGTTACCTGCCGGCCACGTGACCAGGGGCGGCCCCGGGAACCTCGAGGGAGGGCCAGAACCCAGCCCCGGCCTCAGGCTCCCGACCTGGGCGCGCGCTCAGTATCCGGGTGCCCATTTGCCGCTGTGGTCCTGCCTGATTCCTGGAGCGAACCCATTCTCCCTCCATTGGATCATGGAGGGACCACGAGGCTTCCGCAAAGGAACATGCAAAACCAGAGGCCTTCTGCAGCCTGCGAGAGTCACGGGGGACCTGTGGAAGTCACCAGGAGGCAGTCAAGGGGCTGTGGGGGTCACGGCGGCCGGTGTGGGGTTGATGGAAGTCACCAAGGGCCAACGAGGGTGGTGCGAATTACAAGGTCTACCCCGGAGGCCCGTGAGGGAGATCACCATCACGGGTGCACCATCAGGGGTTCTTAGAGCTGGGGGGGTGTCACCAGAGATCCCAGGGGAGGACCTGTCCACACAGGTGCCAGGCTGGACCTTACTCCAGCTTCTCCGGGAAGCACCGGCGGTGCCAAAGCGCGGTCACCGCGGGCCCGAGCCGCACAGGCCTTGGTGCTGGGAGAGGAGGACCCCTCTCCCCTAAACTCCCGAGAGCTGCACCCTAGTCGTGGCTGAGCCAGACAGTCCGGGTTGAGCCTCGCCCTGTTCCACGTTGGGGTGCTCAATTTTGTCGCTCTTCCCGACGACAGACCTGTTGCCTGGAGATTGCTAAGTGCGCGCTCGCGAGCTGCTGATCCTCTGCTCCGGATCTCTCCGTCCGGAGCCATCAGCCCCATCGGGAACAGCCCCGCGCTGAGGACTCGCGGTGTCCCTTCGCCCCTGGAAGCGTGGTCGTATACTTTCCCAAACTCTCCCACTGGGGTCCCACCTGGCGGAAGCGGCGACACGGGGTTGCTAAGCCCGACAAGAGACTTAGGCGGGAGCCGCAACTCGCGCTTTCGGGGGACCCGGGCGCCGTGTCCTGGACAACGTGGGCACGTGGACAATGGAGAGAGCGGGAGACCCGGGCGCATCCCCAGCTCTTGCCCGGGGTGGAGGGAGCATCTCCCGGGTCTTGCCAAACTAGCTCGTCCTCACTTTGACGGACTCGGAGACCTGGAGAGCAAGGGAGGTAGGTACTTGGGGTGGCTTCAGGCCAGTAACACTGGAAGCGGACGAGACCGCCCACCCGTGCGTGTCCCCACCCCCGGAAGCACTAAACGCACCAGCCGCGGGGGGAGGGGAGCAGGTCGCCGCTCAGGCCCCGCCCCCCGATAAGCCTGGAATGTTAAATATTTGTTCGTGGGGCGGGGCGCAAGCGTGAGGGGAGGCCCCATCCACTCCTGCCCCAGAGCGCGCCTGCGCCGAGAGGAGTAGCGCCTTCGTGCAGGCCACGCCATTGGTGCGAACTCCTGAAACCCCCTGCAGCCCTAATGCCCGGGTTCCTAAAACTTTGGGTTTTTTTCCCCACTGCAGGACCGGAGACGCCCGTGTCTCCCCCGGACAGTCCTAACGCCACCTGGGCTAGGCCCTCTCGCCCCTCCTGGCGCCCCCACCCGGTCAAACTCGAAGAGTGTCGAGCTGTACCCTTTGCTGTTCTCAGCGCGGGTCTCGACCGCCAGGTCCTCTGGGAAGCCTCCCCCTGGAGATGACCCACCGACGGGGGCATTCCTGGTGGTCCAGGGCGCATCCCCTCGGGAGAGGCGCTCATGCTGGGCGGTGAACCTGAGGCACCGGGCTGGCAGCCTAGGGCGGCTTCCCCGAACCTCTGCTGCGCGTCCATCCAGTCGCCTCGGCCGCTAGACAATTCCCAAAAAACCAAATCCTTCAGATGGGGCCTAGCGCATCACCCATGGTTGCTAAACAGCCGGTCCACAGCAGGCCTCGGCCTCTAACCCTTCCCCTCTGGCCCCGACATCAGGGACTGGAGGACACTGGCGCGCCCCGGGGCCTGGCACTGAATGAATGCTTGCCTTGGCGCTCGCTTCTACCTTCGGGTACTCCAGCGACGGTAAGCCTCCTTGGGTCACAGGGCAGTTGCCCTGGGGTCACTTCTGCGGCTTTCCTCCTCTCCCACCGTGCCCCTGCTGCAGCCAAGCCAGCTCTGCCTCGGGATTTTGGCCACTGAAGGCCCCTTCCTCCGTAGCAGGGATATCTCTGAACTCAGAGGTTTCTGTATTTCCCCACCCACATCCTGCTCCCCCTCCGTCTTCCGGGGTTCACCAAACCCCACTGCATGGATGAATGTATGGGAGTGAGGGGCCCCAACGACCCAGCACTCCAGCTACGCTGGGTCCTGTAAGCCTCATCCATAAAATTCCACCTCGCCTCGGCTCTTGCGCGCCTGCCTAGGCTCGGCAGCAGCTCTGGCCACTGTACGTGTGGGGCCAGACTCTTACAGCGGTAAGTGTGATGGTTCATGCGGAACCTTCTGGACGAATAGGAATGGTGAACAAGCGTCTTGCCCTCCATTCCCCGCCAGAAAAGATCCCGCGGGGGAGGAGGATTCGACGCTGGGGGCGGCCACCGCAAGGAACCACGCTCGCCAGGCCAGACCTACACCCTCTCTCCCTGTCTCCTTGGCCCACCCGAGCAGAAAGCGCGCTGGGCTGCCCCTGGTTCCTGTTTCGCGCCTTTGCCGAATCGCCGCTGATGCCCACCAGAGGGCGCGCCAACACCGTTGCCTGCACTGGATGGTGAGGGACAGGGAGGAGTGTGCATGGGGGGGGGGGGGCAGCACAACAGGCCACAGAAAGTGAAAAGAGGATGCTTTCGACGTCACGGGTGGCTTCCTTCCCACTTTAGAGTCCTCCGTGGTTCCTGGTTTCCTGGACGCAGGACAGTTTTAGAGTTTTGATTTTCCAGGTCCCCAATCTCACCCTGTTCCTCTCTCATCTACCCTGTCCCACCCTGTGTGCAGAACACCTGATTATGACTCTTGCTTTAATGTTTTTTCATCTACTTGAAAGGCAGAGCGACAGAGCATGAGAGAGTTAGTTAGTTTTCCATCTTCTGGTTCACTCCCCAGATGCCAGCAACAGCCAGGGCTGGGCTAGGCTAAAGCCAGGAACCTGGAACTCCATCTGGGCCCGAGGGGCCCAGGTCCTTCTGCTGCCTTCCCAAGCATATTAGCAGGAAGCTGGATTGGGAGCCAAGCAGCTGGGACTCCAGTCAGCACTCCTATTTGAGATACCAGTGTCCCAAGTGCCTGCTTAACTGGCTATACCGCAATGCTGGCCCCCATACCTTCTATCTTTTTGAAAGATAAACTTATTTCAAAGGCAGAGTAACAGAGAGAGAGAGTGCTGCTGGTTCACTCCCCCAAATGCTTGGGCTGGGCCAGGTTAAAGCCAGGAGCCCAGAATTCCGGACAGGTCTCCCACATGGATGGCAGGAGCCCAAGCACTTGCTGCCCCCAGGGTGTGCATTAGCAGGAAGCCAGATCCGAAGCGATTGGAACTGGCACCCCAATATGGGATGCCACAACCCTAGGTTGTGATTCTTTCGGTCTCTAGGCTGCTGTGCGTGCTGAGCTCTCTGCCTGGGGCAGTCATCTACCTGCCCATCCTGTTGTTTTCCTGGAAAACTCGACTTATCCTCAAGACCCATCTCCAACGAGTCTTCCTCCCACAGCCTTCCCTGATGCCTAGGCCAGATTAGATGTTGTGTTCCCGGCCCCTAGCCTCCAGGGTTCTGTTGAGATTAGATCAGTGTTGGGCTCTCATGACTCCAGGGAAGCTCAGGCAGTGAGCCCTGGATCTGTAGGCAGATTCTCTCTCTCTCTCTCTCTCTTTTCCCCGAGCTCAGAGTGTACCCATCCAGGTTTCTACCAAGCCTGGAACGTGGGTCTGTGAAAGGCAATGCAAAGGACTCTGTAATAGGAGGAAAGACTTCTGTCTAGATCTCAGTTGAAGCAGATACCACATTGTACTGGCTTCTCAATAGCTGGGCTTACTCTGTTTTTAAAGAATATGTATTTTATTTATTTGAAAGGCAGAAATACAGAGAGAGAGATCTTCCATCTGCTGATTCACTCTCCTAATGGCCACAATGTCCAGAGCTGGGCCAATCCAAAGCCAGGAGCCAGGAGCTTCCTCTGGGTCTCACGTGGGTGCAGGGGCCTAAGCACTTGGGCCATCCTCTATTGCTTTCCCAGGCACATTAGCAGGGAGCTGGATCAGAAGTGGAGCAGCCAGGACTTGAACCAGGCAAAGGCCTAGCCCACTATGCCACAGTGCTGGCCCCCTTGACTTTCATTTCATTTGAAAGGCTTAGAGATAGAGCCACAGGTCATTTCTTGGGAGCCCTGAACTGGGTCCCCCAAACTGGGGAATGCAGAGTGGTCTCACTGTAGCTCATGCAGAAGTCCTGAGGGGGAAGGAGGTCGTTCTCTGCTAGGCAGCTCGGAAGCTGTTGAGACTGCAGATGAGAGAGCTGAGCGAGAGCGGAGTGGAAGTTGGGAAAATGGCCAGAGTGTTATACATTAATGTTAGCCGTCGCAAAACACACCGAACACCGGAGTAAGGGAAAGGGTTTATTGGGGAACACCCAACAGACCGGAGTGAAGGGGTGGCGAAGGAAAAAGAGAAGGAGACTATAAGAGAGAGAGAGAGACAGAGAGGAGGGAGGAGAGAAGCCAAAAGAGGCCAAGAGAGCACAGGAGAGAAGGACCAAGAGAGCGCGTGTGCAGGAACAGGCCCTTTTAAAACTTTGCCTGAGGGCGGGCAGGGAAGCAGGAGCAGGGAATCCCATTAGGATGGGGGTGGAACCTGGCTCAGGTAGCTGGGCCATGCGGCCACCTGGCTAAAACTGCGCCAGTTTCCTAACACAGAGCCCCTCTGCAGGGTCCCTGCCATGCCAGAGGTGTGCACCATGGGAGGGCTTGTGAGTGGGGTTAGCAGGAGAGCGATGGGGCGTGGCTTAGTTAAATAGTGTCAACCTGCCTTCTGGAGAACAATCCACAGGAGTGAGAACTTGAATTTTGAAAAAATTTTGGGGGGGCTGTGCTGTGGCATAGTGGGTAAAGCCTCTCCCTGCAGTGCCGGCATCCCATATGGGCACCGGTTCAAGTCCTGGCTGCTCCACTTCCGATCCTGCTCTATGCTGTGGCCTGGGAAAGCAGTAGAAGATGGCCCAAGTCCTTGGGCCCCTGCATCCACGTGGGAGACCCAGAAGCTCCTGGCTCCTGGCTTTGGATCGGCACAGCTCCAGCCATTTTGGCCAATTGGGGAGTGAACCAGCGGATGGAAGAGCTCTCTCTCTCTGCCTCTCCCCTCTCTGTGTAACTCTGATTTCCAAATAAATAAATCTTTTTTTTTTTTTTTTTTTTTTTTTTCGACAAGGCAGAAGTGGACAGTGAGAGAGAGAGACAGAGAGAGGTCTTCCTTTTGCCGTTGGTTCCCCCCTCCAATGGCCGCCGCGGCCGGCGCGCTGCAACCAGCGCACCGCGCCGATCCGATGGCAGGAGCCAGGTACTTATCCGATGGCAGGAGCCAGGTACTTATCCTGGTCTCCCATGGGGTGCAGGGCCCAAGCACCTGGGCCATCCTCCACTGCACTCCCTGGCCACAGCAGAGAGCTGGCCTGGAAGAGGGGCAACCGGGACAGAATCCGGTGCCCCGACCGGGACTAGAACCCGGAGTGCCGGCGCCGTAAGGCGGAGGATTAGCCTAGTGAGCCACGACGCCGGCCTAAATCTTTTTTTTTTTTTTAAAAAGACCTCTCTCTGTGTGTGTGTCTCTCCTTTTCTCTCTGTGTAAATCTGACTTTCGAGTAAAATAAATAAATCTTTAAAATAAAATAAAAATTTTAAAAATTTATTTGAAAATCAGAGTTACAGAGAGAGGGGAGAAACCGAGACAGTGAGAGAGAGAGATCTTCCATCTGCTGGCTTGCTCCCTATGTGGCCACAGTGGCCAGGACTGGGCCAGGCCAAAACCAGGAGCTTCATCTGAGTCGCCCATGTGGGTGCAGGGGCTTAGGTGCTTGGGCCATCCTCTGCTGATTCCCAGGTGCATTAGCAGGGAGCTAGATTGGAAGTGGAGCAGCTGGGACATGAACCAGTGCCCATATGAGATGCCGGCATCACAGGTGGTGGCTTTACCCGCTGTGCCACAGTGCTGGCCCCAAGCACATGAAGTAAGACAATAGAATAGAGGCTTCTGTGGGGGATGAGGGTAGTTTGGCTTTTGGAGGGAAGAGTCGGCAGGACTTGGCAACCACCTGGGTTGTGGGCTGAGAAGCAGGGAGGCATCCAGAGTCCAGGATGACCCCGGCCTGCAGGCAGGCCCATCGGAGGTATATTGTGGGGCTACTGTAAAAAGGGGGCCCCCTCACCTTCTGATTATTCTGCATATCACATTGCCAGCAGGATCTTTTTTTTTTTTTTTTTTTTGAGAAAAGATTTATTTGAAAGGCAGAGTTACAAAGAGAGAGGGAGAGACATCTGCTGGCTCACTCCCTAAATTTCCACAATGACCAGGCCGAAGCCAGGAGCCATTCCCATGTGAATGGCAGGGGCCCAAGTACTTGGGCCATCTTCTGCTGCTTTGCTAGGCACATGAGCAGGAAGCTGGATGGGAAGTGGAGCAGTGGGGACTCGAACTGGAGCCCACAGGGGATGTCAGTGCTGTGGGCAGTGGCTTAATGTGTTGCACCACAGTGCTGGCTCCGCCGGCAGGATCTTTGATGATCAGGCCCTGCCATCCCTGCCCCGGTGACCATGGTTCCTAACACCTGCAGAGCTTGTGGGTGTGGGGCAGCAGAGCCACTCTGAGGACAGGGCCACTCTTCCAGGGACCGGTGGTCACCTGAAGCTGCTGAACTGCCAAGACGTCCAGACTGGCCAGAGTCCGGTGGTCCGTGTGGGTGCAGGGGCTCCAAGCGCGTGACCGCCACTGTAGATGACAGCTGGGAGGCCGTCACCTGTGGCTCTGAACTTATGCTTATCTGTAGCACCTGCAGAAGGGTCTCCATGGCCCCCTACACGGGGCCTTTGCCATATTGGTCTTCAGCAACCCTCTGCTGGGGCCAGGGTTGAAGGTAGGGGAAGTAGGAGGCCTGAGCCAGGGCCCCCGGTGGGGGATGGTTTGGCCTTGAGAAAGGAGAGCCGCTCTTGCTTCACTAGGAGCTTTCAGGAAGGGCAGGCCACGAAAATGAGCAGCTCAGTGCGGGGCCGGCCCCCACCAAGAAGGAGGAAAGGTGGGGAGAGAGGTCTGGGGGCTGGTGATGATCAGGATGTGGCTGGTGTTTGGGAGGGAGTGCGTGGAAGATCAAGACCTCTGTTCCCCAAACACTGCTCCTTGGATCCCAGAATGATGCATGGGGCTGGCATGTGACTGGCTGCCAAGCCGGCTCGCTCTGTTGGCCCTGGTTCCTAGTGCAGGGAGTCCATCTCCTCTTCAGACCCCTAGATTTGCCTGGAGTGGGAGTGGGGGAGAGGGGACAAAGGCGAGCTCTTGCTGCCTCTCCCACTCTGCAGGGGAACTTGCAGATGGGCATGGCGCAGGCTGGAGGCCCAAGCCCACTCCCAACTCCGCCCCACATGGCAGGGTGACGCCCCACTCGGCGCCTCTAAATCCAGTGGACAGACCGCTCTATCGGGAACAACATGCTGACCTGGCCTCTCCCGGTCCAACCCTTACCCTAACTCAGGGGCAGATGGTAAGGGGGCCCTTGGGCAGGGATGAGCGAACCCAGGTTCCTTGCGGGCAGAGCGCGAAGAACCGGTGTGAGGATTGCAAAATGGTCCTGGTCATCTGAGGCCCAAGAACTGCCTGGCGGTCACTTCCTCTGTTCCGGCTTTTCACAGGAGTCGCTCCGCATCGGAGAGCGCCGGTCTCCGTATCGTCTCAGCCAGGACTCTCAAAGTCTGGGAGGAACCGGGAATCGGAGGTGAGGGCTGAGCTGGGTGCACAGCGGCTGCGAGGAGGGGGCTGCCGCGATCCCGGAGTCAGGCTGCGCGTGGATGGATCGATGCGCTCGGCGCGCAGCGCGATCAAGGGGCGAGTCCGGGGGCTGGGCAAGGGCGGGACGGAGCCCGGGCTGGGAAGGGCGGCGAGTCCCTATTGGTAGGCCGTTTGGAGAGGCGGGCCCTGATTGGCCGGGCGGTTGCAGGCGGCTCCGGCGGGGTTAAGTACGTCCCCGCAGCCGCTGTGGGGCCTAGGCGCTATTCGGAGCGCTGAGCGTGCAGCGGCCGCCTACAGCGGGGGACGCGCGCCATGGGGCTCCGCGCCTGCCCCTGCCGCGCGGCGATGCTCCTGAGTGGCCTCCCGGTCCTGCTGATGCTGCTCCTGGCCCCCGCGCTCCAGGCCCGACGTCGCCCCCCAGTGGTGCTGGGTGAGCCGCGTGTTTGGTAATGGGTCTGTCCGGCAGGGCGGGGTGCGGGCACGGCTGTCCTCCTCGGTCAGAAATAGAGAAGCGTCTCGGTGTGTGTCTTTTCACCTGGGTCAAAGATCCGCCGTGCTGGGCGCGGGTGTGGACAGCTTAACACCAGCTGCTCTGCTAGGGAATGGGAGTGAGTGGGAGGGTCACCGTCCATCCTTCCACCCATCCTCATCCGTCCCGAGCCTTGCCTTGCCTAGCTCGGGTTTTCAGTTGGGAAAGACTGGGGCCCTTGAGTCCCTTGACTGAGTGCTGGTGGGGGCCAGTAGGGTGGCGTTAGAATTGGCTTCTGTGTTGTCCTGGGCCTGGCTGGGAGGCTGTCACCTTCAGCCCTTCCAGCCTCGATACCTTCCATGTTTCGGAGTGCATTACTGGGAGAAACTGGGGAATGGATTGCTTCCCAGCCGCCCACCAAGCCCCTGTGTCCCCTCTTCCCCAGCTATAAATGGGTGGCACTGGCCTGAGCCTGGAGGCCTAAGAGAAGCAGGCTGGCAGGGAGTAGGTTTGGGACAATGGCCATGAACAAGTGTCAGACAACATGCCTGTACTCTGACCCCTGCCAGACCTGCTTGGATTAGGCCATGTGGGGGCTGAGCAACCTCCCCTACCTACCCCTTCCTTTAAAAAAAAAAAATTTTTTTTTAGGATTTATTTTATTTATTTGAAAGGCAGAGTTACAGAGAGAGGGTGAGAGACAAAGAGATCTTCCATCTGCTGGTTCACTCAACAAATAACTACAACGGCCGGGGCTGCGCCATGCCAAAGCCAGGAGCCAGGAATTTCTTATGGATCTCCCATATGAGTGCAGCGGCCCAGGGACTTGGGCCTTTCTCTGCTGCTTTCCCAGGCACATTAACAGGGAGCTGGATTGGAAGTGGAGCAGCCAGGACTCAAACTGGTGCCCATATGGGATGCCATCATCGCAGGCAGTGGTTTAACGTGCTGCACCACAGAACCAGCTACACCCACTCCGGCCTTGATCACAGATCTGGCTGTGATGTACAGGAACCGCTGTTTCCTTGTTGTAGGCCAGGATGAGACGTTTGTCTGGGGGCTCCAATGCCTCATTCAGGCCACTGCGCCCTTCTCCAGCGGGAATGTTGGTGGCCACTGCTCCCTTCTCCAGCGGGAATGTTGGTGGCCACTGCTCCCTTCTCCAGCAGGAATGTTGGTGGCCACTGCGCCCTTCTCCAGCGGGAATGTTGGTGGCCACTGCTCCCTTCTCCAGCGGGAATGTTGGTGGCCACTGCGCCCTTCTCCAGCGGGTATGATGGTGGCCACTGCGCCCTTCTCCAGCGGGTATGATGGTGGCCACTGCTCCCTTCTCCAGCGGGTATGATGGTGGCCACTGCTCCCTTCTCCAGCGGGAATGTTGGTGGCCACTGCTCCCATCTCCAGTGGGAATGTTGGTGGCCACTGCGCCCTTCTCCAGCGGGAATGTTGGTGGCCACTGCGCCCTTCTCCAGCGGGTATGATGGTGGCCACTGCTCCCTTCTCCAGCGGGTATGTTGGTGGCCACTGCGCCCTTCTCCAGCGGGAATGTTGGTGGCCACTGCGCCCTTCTCCAGCGGGTATGATGGTGGCCAGCCAGGATTCCTGAGGGCAGAGGCATCCTGAGGCACACGTTGCATACTGAGCTGCTATGGTATGATCGTCCCACTCCCCACGTTCTTTCTGCTTGGAATATTTTAATAGAGATAACGGAAATCCCAGAAGGATAAGATTGGCAGGCAGCTTGGTCCCTGGAGACCCCACCAGTGCTCCAGGAGGGAGCTTCAGGTTCACTGTGAGATCTGGGCACATTTGGCCCTGCCTCCCTCCAGTTTGCAGGGCATGATTAACAACAGTCCCCAGAGGTGAACCTGTGCTGGGCAAGCACAGAGTCCACGGAGCCAGCTGGCTGGTGGGTGTCAGGGGAGGCTTCCCAGAATATGCAACTGGAGCTGAGATCAGGAGAGAGTTCTGGGCGGAGGGAACAACATATCTGAAGGAGGAAAGTGAGCAGTCTCAGGCTGCTAGAATGGAGTGGGGGGAGGGGGGGATTGTGCGGGGCTCGTGACTGGTTGGGTCATCTGGACTTTATCCTAGGGGCCACAGGAAGTCATGTGTGGGCCTTGGGAGTTCTGACGGTGAGAGGCGTGGCGTTGGAAGTGTGCGGTCTGCTGTCAGAACTTACCCTTTTTGCCTGGGGTGGTGCTGACTGCACTCATTAATTCTTTCAGTACTTGCTTATCCTAGGTCACAGCACAGGAGCAGCAGGCCCCACCCACGTCAGAGAGCACCTCCCATCTCCAGCGGGTGTGTTGGTGGCCACTGCTCCCATCTCCAGCAGGATCCTAATTTTCCCAGCTTCGTAGGGAGTGAGGCTGCTGATGTTAACTCAGGATGAGCTGCTAGCGGCCTGCAGTGCTGGCATCCCACATGGGTGCTGGTTTGAGTCCCCGCTGCTCCACTTCCAGTCCAGCTCCCTGGTAATGTGTCTGGGAAGGCAGTGGAGGATGGCTCAAGTGCTTGAGCCCCTGCACACAGCTGGGAGACCCAGATGAAGATCCTGGCTCCTGGCTTCAGCCTGACCCTGCCCTAGTCATTGTGGCCATTTGGGGAGTGGACCAGTGAGTGGAAGATCTGTCTCTCTTTCTCTCTCTAACTCTGCCTCTCAAATAAGTAATTACATCTTTTTTAAAAAAGATTTTTATTTTTAAAAAGATTATTTATTTGAGAGGCAGAGTTAACAGAGAAGCAGAGGCAGAGAGAGAGAGAGGTCTTCCATCCACAGTTCACTCCCCAGATGGCTGCAATGGCCAGAGCTGTGCCGATCTGAAGCCAGGAGCCAGGAGCTTCCTGTGGATCTCCCACGTGGGTGCAGGGGCCCAAGGACTTGGGCCATCTTCCTCCATTTTCCCAGGCCATAGCTGAGAGCTAGATTGGAAGTGAAACAGCCGGGACTTGAACCAGTGCTCATATGGGATGCCAGCACTGCAGACAGCAGCTTTATCCACTATGCCACAGTGCTGGCCCCAAATAATTAAATCTTAAAAAAAAAAAAAAAGATGAGCTGCTGCTAGGCACAGAGCAGCAATCTGACCTTGACCATCAGAGGATCAGCATTCTCTAAGAGTAGGACTTGAACTAATGGTACACGAAGCAGAGGTCAGAGAAATGACCCCGGACAGGGTAGGTAAGCCATTCCTACCCCTCCTGGCCTCAGTTTCCTCATCTGTTAAGTGGGGATGAAAGACACATGGATGGCCCTTAGTTCCAGGCACAAAGGCCTTCAGGAAGTGATCCCTGCTATTTTTAGCAGTCACATGGCCTGACCAGGTCAAGGGGTGTCTGGGGCAAAGCAGATCTGGTGACTTCTTCCAACCGTTTCCTTTTTGGTGGAGACAGTGACCCAGGTCTCTGCAGTGCCCTGCCCAGTCCTCGGGCATTATCATCCAGAGGTGTCCTGCTGGAGACTCCTTGCTTCCACACCCACATCAGGAAGGGAGGTAAAGGCAGACGCCACACCTGCTCGCAGGGCACCCTGAAGACACTGACATGGTGCACTGGAGGGCAGGCACACCCTGTGCAGGGCTGGGCTTACAGGCGCTGGCTGTTTATTCCATGGTCATTTAGCCTAAATGGGGCTGTGTTTGGGAGGTGTCAGGAGCATGACATGAGGGAGCAGCTGAGGCCCGAAAGGTCAGTGAGAGTAACTGGACTGTGAAGGGCTTTTCATTTTTACAGACTTGTTTGCTTTTTGGAAGGTAGAGCATCAGAGAGAAAAAGAGACAGATTGGCCCTTCTCTTCTTCCCTGGCCTCTTGCCAGGAGGGGGCTTGCTGTAGCCCTGTGCCTCCAGGGCGTGTGGCCTTCGGACCACCTGCCCTAGGCTTCCTGGCTAGATGCTCCTCCACATGGCTGGTTCCTGGTGCTCGGTATGAACCCAGATTTACTTCTCTCTCTTAGATAAAGCACTCACTGTTCTATGCATCTTTCTCACTAAATAAAGGCTAAAAATGTGGAAAAAAGAAAAGAAAGAAAAGGAGACAGATCTTCCATTCACTGGTCCACTCCGCAGTCAGCTACAATGGCCAAAGCTGCACCAGGTTGAACGCGGCAGCCAGGAACTCCATCCTGGTCTCCCACATGGGTGGCAGAGACCCAAGCACTTGGGCCATCTTGCTCTGCCTTCCCGCGCACATTAAGAGAAGGCTGGTTTGGAAGCAGAGCAATCGGCACCCCCTGATGGGGCTGATGATGCTGCAAGTGGTGGCTTAACCCTGAACCCACTGTGCCACAGAGCTGGCCTCTGAAAGCCTTGGAATGCTGGGCAGTGAAGCAATAGGGATGGGCTTGGGGGTCACAAGGACCCCAGGGCTCTGTGTGCACTGAACAGATTGGCTGGGTTGGAGAGAAGTCCTACTTGGGACCTGGCCACACCTACCCCTGCTAGACTATGGCTTGCCTGGTGTGTTGATTCGGGCTAGCTGTCTCCAGTGCAGGCTCCCAGCCATGCTAGGGGCCTCTGGGTGCTCTGCCTTCTAGAGGCTCAGTGGGTCCTGCGCTTTAGCAGGGTGCAGGGACCTCAGTGAGCTGGCAGGTGCCAGTTCAGGCTTCTCTCAGCTGTGTTTCTGTTTGTGATCTCCTTCCTGCAAGTCCGGAATACCTTCTCTGGGTTCAGTTTTGGCTGGCATAGTGGCCCAGTGTCCTGTCCTGCTTCCTGTTCCCTCTCTTGGCATGAACAAGGTGCCTGGGATGGCTGTAGGTGGAAGGTCTTTGGGTTCAAGCCTGAAGAGCATATATCTAATGACAAGCCTGTAGTAGTGTTCTGGAATTCAGGGGATCTCTAAGTCAGAGCTCTCGTCTTGGTCCGTGAACCATAGAAGCCATGTGTGGAGGTTCGTGTTTGCAAGAGACTGGTTCGAGACAAGATCGCACTTCACACATAAGGAAACTGAGACCTACCATGGGGAAGTGACTTCAACCTGAACCCCATTCCAGTAGCCCGAATGTCCTGGGAGGATGTTCTTGTACAGACACCAGGATTTACTTTCCCCGGGCTCAGGAAGTGTGATGGGGACTCCCCCAAGACACAGTGGCCTCTCTCAAGCCCCCCATAGGCTTCGCGTTCACTCCTGTGTACCAGGGAGCAGTAGCAGCTTTTGTGTGAAGATGGTGTCCAGGCCCCTGAGTCAGGGTCTTGGCTTTCTGGTTTTCCTGCCCCGGCACTGTTAGGGTGAGGGTTTCAGTTGGAGGTGTGGAATTGCCGGGGTCTCCCACGGTGCCCGTGACTCTTGGGGAGAGTCTGTGGCGGACTTTAAGGTTTCTGGAGGTTTCCAGCCTGCCAGGCCCAGAGCTTATGCATGTCTTGTGCGCCCTTGTAGTGCCTGGTGATTTGGGCAACCAGCTGGAGGCAAAGCTGGACAAGCCGAAGGTTGTGCATTACCTGTGCTCCAAGAGGACGGACAGCTACTTCACACTCTGGCTGAACCTGGAACTGCTGCTGCCCGTCATCATTGACTGCTGGATCGACAATATCAGGTGGGGGCCTGCACAGGCCTTCTCAGCCCCACTTCAAGCACCGGTGTGGGATCTGTTTCCCTTCCCAGGACCCGAGGCCCTCCGCGTGGTCTGGCTGGCAGCACCTCTGCACTCTCAGGCCAGACTTTGCTGCTGCTCTGTCCTTCCCTCTCCAGTTCAGCCCTGGCCCCTCAGGCCCTATCCACAGCTCCAATGTCATCCCTTCTTTGTGGCTTGGCCACGCCTCCACCTCCAGCTGCCTGTTCTTCTGGGACAGGCTCTGCCTCCACAGCACCTGCTAGATTTCAGACTGTAATCTGCTTCCATTCCCTTTGCCAGATCAGCTCCCTGCCAGGTACCATATTTATTTGTTTTCTTTTCCCCCCATTTCCCCTTTGAAACCTGACCTTGCTCCCTGTGTGAGTTCTCCCCTGCCACTCCATGTAGCTCTCCACTCCTTCCCACAGGTCACATCATGTTGCTACGGATATTTCCCAAGTTGAATATAGCCACTATTAACTTTACATTCAGTACGTTCTACATATGATGTTGCAGTTAACAACTGGTCCTGTACGATCTCGGAGCTGAAAAATTCCTGTCCTTGTGATGCCACAGCTGGCATAACTCTGTCAGTGCAGGTCATTACTTATGCACTTATGGTGATGTTAGTGTAAATTAACCTACTATGCCACCAGTTTAATGAAAATATAGCAGTACAATTATGTGCATAATACTTGGTAATAACTGACCTTACTACTGGCATATGTATTTACTTCTTACTGTCATTCTAGAGTGTCTTCTTACTTAGTGTAGAACAGCATGCTGTATTCTGCCAGCAGCAGCCGTATACATCCTGAATTAACCACGTATCTTGATTGCATCAGAGGCCGTGTTAAGTGATTGACTGACACGTCTAGGTTTATGTAAGCATATTCTGACATTCATCAAACAGTGAAATCACCTGATGACGCATTTCTCAGAACATAGTCCCATTGTTCAGTGCTGTATGGCTGTGCTTTCCTTCATTCAGTCATACAGCGACTCTGTGAAACAGGTGCTCTTTTTAAACTGGCTTTTCAGGTGAGGAAGTGTAGAGGCTCACAGAAATTACAGAATGGCTTGTGCTGACTCAGCTGACAGGTGAATGGCAGAACCAGAATTCCAACCCAGATGTGTGACTCTGAGCTGAGCGCCCTACAAACAGGGACTGTACCTTTTTTATCATCAGTAGAACCAGGAACACAGTTGGTGCTTAATGCATGTTTGAGCAGAAGGTGTCTCATAAATTAAAAGTTTTCCCCAGAGACCTGCTAGCTGCTTCTCCAGACCCCTGCCCCCACTGGCTGTCAGCTCTTTCCTTCTCTGTGTGTGTGGATGGGGCTATTTCCAGGCTGTTGATTTCCGTTTCTATTTTTATACTGGGGACATGGCCTCAGGTACTGGCAATTGGAGATGTGGACTGGAGCCGAGAAGGACTTGTCTGATTGTTCCTCTGACCTGTTTATGCTTCTGTGCCGCATGCAGCACAGAGCTGCTCTGGGTTTGCATTTTACTGGGTGGCTACTGGGATAGTCTATAGATTGTCCTGGAGAGAGTGGGCCCAGAGCTATTGTCTAGGTTGGTGCCGGGGCTCTGTCAGCTTCCTGTGACTGTGAAGTCCCTAGTGGTTGAGGGTCACCAGGAACTTCGGGTTCCTGTGTTTCTTTGGCGCACATTGGCTTCTTTGGTGTCCAGCAAGATCAGTGTAGTGTTCCTAGCCTGGCGCGACTTCTGTCTCCTCCAACCCCATCCCCAGCATTTCTCCAGGCCTTGCCAACTCCTTCCCCAGCGAGTCAGGATAGAGCAGCCTTGTAGCTAGAGCCTTGAGGAGGGGTCTCTCTCACCTGGTTCTGTTTTACACCGCAGCTGCAGAAACTGTTAGATATGTATGATGTTTGAAGCTTCTAGGTCTTTGATAATTTGTTACACAGCAATAAAAAACTTATAAAGGGGCTGGTAGGGATCCCAAATAGCTGGTGGTCAGTATGTCATGGCTTATAGGAATTTGCCAGCCAGCTCTGGGCAAGTGGTTGCAATCTGACAGGTGATAGGGCTCTGCAGTATGTTATGGGGCAGGTCACATGGGCATGGTTTGTTCACGTCCTCCGCAGATGGTGTGGCGGGGTCCAATACCCCGTGCAAGTAGGACTCAGCTGTCCCTACCTGGGTCTGCGGAAGGCCTTTCTCCTGTCTCCCCAAGCTGTCCCCATCACTTGTCTGGCCTTATCCACCCGTCGACACAACAGCCACAGCTGCTCAGGCCCTGAGATGGAGTCCTTGTCTGATTTTGTTGTTTGCTGCACTCATTGTCTCCTTTGCCCTGGCGTGTGTGGAAGCAGGGGCAGGGGCTAGAGCCTTAGCCATGGGGCAATGCGAGACTACAAGGGTCTGCTGCCTCTTGGGGTCAAGTGTGAAGTTCATGGCAGAGCCAGGACTAACTTTCTTCTCTCCACCAATTCATGAGCCTCATTCTGGGGTAGGCGACACTGGGGAGAAAAGAATATGGCCTTGACAGGGGTCTTGTGGTCAATCTTGGGAGTGAGCCTTGGTGGGAGCCCTCATCTAGCTGTGGTTAATGGTCTGTCCTTTGTAAACCTAAACCTGCTGTGTTTCTTTTCTCTCCCTTGCACATCTGACGAAACCTGGGGATCAGAAGGGAGTATGGCTCAGGACACAGGGCAATATTGGGGTGTCACTTCTGAGCTAACTGGCTACATGTCCCCTCTTGATAGGCTAATTTACAACAACACATCCCGGGCCACCCAGTTTCCTGATGGCGTGGATGTGCGTGTCCCTGGCTTTGGGAAGACCTTCTCATTGGAGTTCTTGGATCCCAGCAAGAGCAGCGTGGGTATGTAGAGCTGGGGCTCTGCTGTACCCCTAGAGTTGGAGGGACCACTTTGGTTTGGAAGGGTGTCCTCTGAGCTGTGTCTGCCCTGTAGCCATCCTCCAGGTACGTGGTTCCAGTGGATGTCATGGTCTCTGTGGCAGGTGTGGTATGGGTGGCAGGCACTGGCTGTGCTTTCTCTAATGCCATGCATTTCTGTTGGCAGGTTCCTATTTCCACACCATGGTGGAGAGCCTTGTGGACTGGGGCTACACGCGGGGTGAGGACGTCCGAGGGGCCCCCTATGACTGGCGCCGAGCCCCAAGTAAGCAGTCACCCTCATTCCTTCCCTGGGGTCTTGGGAGGTAGGGATGATGCAGTCATAGCCACCACTGGCCTTGGGCTCTCCCCTTTCCTGGGTCTCTGGCATGGTCCAGCTCCATAGCCATCACCCCTGTCCTTCCCTGTCCCTAACCCCAGGACCTCTGGGCCTCTGAGCCCTAGGGACAGAAAGTATCCTGGGAAAGGGAGGTGGGAGAGGGGCAGTGGGAAAAGGAGCCCGTTTCCTCCCTTCCTGGAAGCCGGGGTGGGGGAGGACCAGACTGCTCCCACTTGCAGTTTAGCGCTGTCCCCACCCACCGAGTCCTGGGTCTGACTTGAGGAATGGTCAGTGGTTTAGGCCCTAGGACCCTTCCCACCTGACCCCTGCCTGGCTCTGGCCTGCAGATGAAAACGGGCCCTACTTCCTGGCCCTCCGAGAGATGATCGAGGAGATGCACCAGCTGTATGGGGGCCCTGTGGTGCTGGTTGCCCATAGCATGGGCAACATGTACACGCTCTACTTTCTGCAGCGGCAACCGCAGGCCTGGAAGGACAAGTACATCCGTGCCTTTGTGTCACTAGGCGCGCCCTGGGGGGGCGTGGCCAAGACCCTACGCGTCCTGGCCTCAGGTAAGACTCCCGTTGGCAGGGCAGGGGGTGGGTAGCAGGAATGCCGTCCTCTCTCTGCTTCCAGGATGTGCTGTGGGCTAGCAGCCTTCATGCCTCTGTTCCTGGGTGGGCACTCTTCCTCCTCCAGAATGACATTTCTTTTCTTTTCTTTTCTTTTCTTTTCTTTTCTTTCTTTTTTTTTTAATTAATTAACTTATTTAAAAGGCAGAACATCAGAGAGGGAGAGAATGAGAAAAATCTTCCATTTCCGGTTCACTCCCCAAATGGCTACAACTAGCTTGGGCTAGTTTAGGCTGAAGCCAGGAGCCAGGAATTCCATCCAGGTTCCCATATGGGTGGCAGGGGCCCAGGCACTTGGGTCATCATCTTTTGCCTTCCTAGGGGCATTAACAGGAAGCTCAATTGGAAGCAGAGCAGCCGGAATTTGCACTGGCACTCCAAAATGGGATGTCATTATCACCAGCAGCAGCTTAACCCACTGTGCCACAATGCAGGCCTGCCATTCTTTTTCAATTTTTTTTTTTCCAAAAGAGGATCTCATGCTACTCCTGATCTCACTTCCCTAGTTGATAGCCCTTGTAATTTGTGTAGGTTTCTTATAGCATGTCCCTGGAGGGGCATAACTTTATCCTACAGGTACTTGCTTGTGCGTGGATGCACACCCACAGGCATGCACACGCATACACCCCCAGGGCTCAGGCCTGGCTGCCCTAATTTGGTTTTTACCCAAAGTCCTTTGAAGGTACCTTTTCATTCCTTCTCACCCTCACCCTCACTTCTTCATCCTGCCTGGTGCTAGAAAAGGCAGACCAACTGCCGTTTCCTGTTTATGAATTGCACCTCCATCTGTGGGCACAGATAGGGAGTACGTGAGTGCAGCTCTCTCTGGGCCTGCTTGCCAGGCAGTTGAGAAAGTCACCCCCTTCCTGGTCCCTCACCAATCACTTGCCTTGTAGTGACTGTCAGAACCTGCAACCTGCAGCCGTACAGTGGAGCTCTGTGCTTAGGAGCAACCTTGCCTCTCTGCTAGAACTGGCTGGAGTCCCTGTGACCCTCATTTGGGAGCTGTGGTTCAAGACTGTGTCAAGTATCTCAGGAGTTTATTTTCCCTCAAGTCAGCAGCACTGCCTGACCTAGGGGGCCAATTGGTCTTTGCCATCAGGTCAGGCCCAGTGCCTCTCCCAGTAGTGACCCTGAATTGACAGTGAGCCTATGGCTCAGATACTCAGATACAGTGAGGGCTCAGCACAGCTACCTGCTCTGTCCAGCCTCTGACCTGGAGGGACAGATATGGGTACCTGCTGAGTCTGGACAGGGAGCCATGGTGGAGTTTGGACCCCAACCCCTCTCCCAGCCAGGAAGCTGTTGCATGAGCCCTGGCAGCCCAAGAGTGGGGGTGTGCTGTGGGGAGGTGGGAGTCCTCTAGGGGCCTCCCTTTCCTCAGGGATCCTAAAGCCAGGCTCCAGCAGGCAGAGAGGTCTCCCTCCCTTCAGATACAGGGTTTTGGCCCTATACAGTTCAGGGACCACTGTCCCAAGGTCTCACTGTCTGGTGGGTGCATCTGTGATATTGAAGGACCCTGACTCCTCCAGCAGCCTCCCCTCCTGCCCTGTCTCCAGCAGGCCTGGCTGCTCACAGGCAGGTGACCGGGAGGAGGTCAGGGCTCACTGTGGTGTAAGAGAAAGAGGAACAAGTCTCTGGGCTTCCAACCTGTTGAGTTAGCTTAGGGAAGGTCAGTGCCCACACCTTCCCGGGTAAGCATTCCAAGGAGTTGCTGTTTACAGGGAAGGAGACGTAATAAATCACCCCAGGGTTATTTGGGGGCTAAATTCCTCGTGAGGAAATGGCAAAAGAAACACTAAACCAGGCTTGTGAGTGTGCTTTTCAAATGTTGAAAAAATAAGGAGAAGCCATCAAAGCCCATGCAGGGATGGAAGTTATAATAGCGGTGCAGAAATGAGGGAGTGTTGACTGGACCACTAGCCCGGGTCTGGCCGAGGGCCTGGTGACAAGCGTGGTGCCCAGCGAGCTGGCATTCCTAAGCAAAGACTGATCCAGTGGAGCCGGTGTCTGCACCACCAGCATCCCATGTGGGTGCTGGTTCAAGACCTGACTGCTCCACTTCTGATCTGGTTCTCTGCTATGGTGTGGGAAAGCAGCAGAGGATGGCCCAAATCCTTGGGTCCTTGCACCGATGTGGGAGACCTGGAAAAAGGTCCTGGCTCCTGGCTTCAGATCAGCCCAGCTCTGGCCGTTGCGGCCGTTTGTGGAGTGGGCCAGTGGATGGACGACCTCTCTTTCTTTTTCTGCACCTGCCTTTCTGTAACTCCATCTTTCAAATAAATTTAAAAAAAAAATTTTTAAAAAGACTAATCTAAGCCCTTTCCCTGCAGGAGACAACAACCGCATCCCAGTCATTGGGCCCCTGAAGATCCGGGAGCAGCAGCGGTCTGCTGTCTCCACCAGCTGGCTGCTGCCCTACAACTATACCTGGTCACCAAAAAAAGTGTTTGTGCACACACCAACAACCAACTACACATTGCAGGACTATCGTCGCTTCTTCCAGGACATTGGCTTTGAAGATGGCTGGCTCATGCGGCAGGACACAGAGGGGCTGGTCGCCATGGTGCCTCCTGGAGTGCCACTGCACTGCCTCTATGGCACCGGTGTGCCCACGCCAGACTCCTTCTACTACGAGAGCTTCCCTGACCGTGACCCTAAAATCTGCTTTGGCGATGGCGATGGCACTGTGAACTTGGAAAGTGCCCTGCAGTGCCTGACCTGGCTCGGCTCCCAGGAGCACCAAGTGTCTTTGCAGGAGCTGCCAGGCAGTGAGCACATCGAGATGCTGGCCAATGCCACCACCCTGGCCTACCTGAAACGTGTTCTCCTTGGGCCTTGATTGCTGTGCCAGGCAGGGACTCTGGATGGCTTGGCCACGAGGCTTCTCTTGGCCTCTGGGGCTGTCATGGCCAAAGTTTGTGACTGATCATGTGAGACTCTGGGTCTCAGGCTGTGAAACACCTGCCGTGGGGACGTGCTGTTTCTTATCTTTCCTCTGTGGCAGTGAAGAAGGAAGAAGGAAGTGTGGACGTGAGGGACCACGGACGGGAAGATTGCTGCTGATGGAACTGTGACCTCAGGACTGGCCCAGCGGGGTGGATTGGCTGGCAGCTGGCCCCAATCCCCAGCCCCAGGGCCACACGTTGCTCCTACCCCTGTGGCCTTTTCACACTTGCCCACTGGGCCCTGGCCCCTCAGGCGACCCCTCCCGTGTGGTAGCCACAGGTTGGTCTGCCACTGGCCATGGGTGGCTGGAGCTGCTGGCTTCCCTGTGGCCTGGCTGGTAGTCCTCCTAACCATGGCTTTCTGGCGACAGCCTAAAGCCCCCTGCAGGCAGGGGCAGTTTGTGTTCTCCACAGTCCTGGGGCAGTCACTCTATTCCTCCTACCTCCCTCATGTCGAAGAGTAGCCTAGCCGTGGATTGGGCAGCAGAGGGGCCTCCAGTTCTCCAGGCTGCATCATGGGAACTGTGCTCCTGGTTATATGTTGGCCGCAGTATTGAAGCTGGCTCCCTTCACCTGGGACTGTAGTTCAAGGATGAGAGCAGGGTCCAGTGCCATGGCCATCCAGGTCCTGATGGAGAAAGGGAGTTCAAGGAAGCATCCAAGGCTGTGAAGAGCTGCCCTCTTGCTAACCCCACCACCACATTGCTGCTCTGCCCAGGGTTTCTCTAGCACCCAGCGGGGCTGGCACAGGGCTGAGAGGTGGTGAGGCACCTGCTCCCACCAGGCGGTGGGGTGGTATTTTGTCTGCAGGGACCAGCCCAGGGTCCCCTGAGAGAGCAGGGGTTTTCTGTTTGCTCCAGGGATGCTGCACAGCTCTCTCTGTGATAGCTGGGATGGAGAACATGGCGCTGCCTGTGGGTCGTGGGCTCCTGGTGGCAGCTGGCCAGGATTTGGGTCAATCCTACACGTCAGGTTCCCAAAGCCACATTCAGGCTAGACTGTGCTGTTCTCCCACAAGATTGCTGTGGAGCTGGATTTTCCCTGTTGCCTACACACCCAACATCTGTCCCCCCCCCCTTTATTCCTGAGTGGGGGCCCCCCATGGGGCTCTAAGTAGGCTGTACCTTGATTCTGGCAATAAAAGTATTCTGGATGCTGTAAGGTATCCTGGCCTGCTCTGGGCTCTGAACACTAGGAAGGAAGTGACAGATGGCGTGAGGGGATTGGGAGGCAGGTGATCTGAAGCCAGACACCTACTGGGCCCTCAGTGGCTTCTCCCAGCACCAAAGTGTGGCTCCTGTGTGCTTTGGGCTCTATCCTCTTGTACCCTGTCCTCACTCCTATATGGTCAGCAGGCTGCATGTGGCACCCCAGCGGCAGGGGTAAGGACAATCCTACAGGTCACCCTGACTGGACTCCCCTTCCCAGCCTCTGTCTTCCTTCAGTTTACAGGCCTCAACATCCTTCGAGCCTAGAGTTCTTTTTAGGATGCCACCTTATTTGCTTCTTAAGCTTATTTACCCTCTTTGGAGAGAGACACAGCTGGAGGAAGAAAAACTAGGCTGAGACTGGTACAGACACAGACCAAGATGGACAGAGAAATAGGCAAAGACAGAGTACAAGAGATGGGGTCCAAAAAAGATGGAGAGAGTCTGAGATTGAAGCACGCGTAGGGATGGGATCCTGGCCTGAATATTGTGATGCAGAACCCAGATCCTAGGCCAGTGAGGGTGTTAAAGTCCCAGTGCCAGTCTCCAAGTGAGCCCTGCTAACCTGATCTCCAGGCTTCGGTACATCTAGGACCACTAGGGGGCGCTCTGAACCCTTTCCCGGTACCAGCTACAGTTCAGTATTAGCCAGCCAAACATGGAAGTAAGCCTGGGGATATACTTGTGCAGCAGCACTGGTCTCTGTAAAGAGATGACAGCAACAGAGCCCCAGGCCCTGTCTTTTTAGCCCCACTGCCACCCTCAGGTTTACAGCTGCAGAGAGGACTTGGCGTTAGAGCAGGCTTCAGGACCAGCACACCTGGGTCAAATCCCAGCTCTGCCAGCCAGCTCCAGCCACGTAGTCTGGGGACACCTCCTGACTTCCCTGTGCCTCCGATTCCTCCCTTCAAGAATGGGGACAAATAAATGTACCCTGCAGGCATGGTCCTGAGGGACACTGGTGGTGATGAAGAGTATCTGACGCAGTGCATGTGTGAGGACAAGAGGGCTGGATGCCATTGAGTGACACAAGTGTCTAGGGCTGTCCCTCTGCCTGGACAGTCTGGAGGGGCTGATCCTGGAGACAAAGGTTCAGATTCTGATCAAATACACACATTAGGGAAGGTGTTCCTCATGGCAAGGGGGCAGCTTAAGGATCTCAAGGATCATCTCAGGCGCCTGGGGAGGAGGCTGGAAAAGTTTTTAGGGGAGACACACAAAGTCATTCGGATATGTTTTAGGAACAGCTACCCTGTGGGGATAGGTTAGAGGGAGTGGGACAGGGGCTGACTGGGAAGCTGGTCACTGGGGAGAAAACCATGGGATGTCTGGGGCAAGGGGAGAGGAACCTTCCAGAGTGCCAGCTGGGGGAACCAGAGATTTGGGTGTGGTGTATAACCAGAGGATGAGTAATTGTGGACACACAGCTGGGGACATGACTCCATGGCCCAGGAGAGAGTCAGCATTTGAAATGTGGGCCAGAAACAGAGAGGGCTCAGGTGGCCCTAGACAGAGTCCTAGAGCCACCAGGGAAAACGGAGCCCTAACCTTTAGAAGATGGAGAAGCAACCAGGGGAAGAAAAGTAGCAGGGTCAAGGCAGGGAGGACAGAGCCCCAGGGGGGCTGGCAGGAGAAGTCTGCTTGGATGTGAGTGTGAGCTGTGAGGGAGGGAGGACAAGTCCGGGATGTGTGTCTCTTCGGTCAGCCTGCGTGTGGAGGCTCTTCGGGGCGCCTTGTGTGAGCTAGACGGGGTCCCCAGGGCAGGGGCCCAAGCCAATGGCCAGTAGGAACGGGGCGTGGCGGCCGTTTAGAGCTTCATGAGAAAGGATCCCTGTGCCGAGGCCCTCGGTGACTCAGTGCAGGGTGGGAAGGAGCCATCCAGGGAGGCCAGCGCGGCTGGGCCCAGGTCACGGCTCCTGCGGGGCCCGGTGAGGCCAGCTGGGGGCTACCAGGCGACGGCAGCGAAAGGCTGAGCCCCGGGGCAGTGGATCACCGAGTCCTCGGCGGCCTCTGGGGTCCGGAAGCTCGGCCACCGGCGGGCCGGGCGGCGAGTCCTGTCCCGACGCGGCGCGCGCTGTCGCGATCCGGCGGCGAGTGACGTGGCGGGGGCGGGGCCTGGGCAGCGGCGGGGGCCGTGCTGGCTGCGCGGCCGAGCATCCTGGCGGCGCCCGGCCACTGGGAGGTAACGGGCTGTGTGGGGGCCGGCGGGCGGGCTACGGAGCGGGGCCGAGCGGCGCCGGGGCGCGGGCGGGGGCCGCATCCTGTGGGGCCGAACTTTCCGCGCCTCCGCCGCGTGCGGGATGCGGGCCCGGAAACGGCGCGGGGCTGGCCGCGGCCGCCTAGGGGACGCTGCGGGTGAGAGGGTGGCGGTGTGAGTGTGAGAGGGACCCCGAGCGTGAGGGTGGCCCCAGGAGAGTGGGGAGACCCGAAGTATAAGACCGGGTGTGTGTGTGTGTGTGTGTGCGCGCGCGCGTGTGTGTGTGTGAGAGAGCGAGAGCGAGCGAGCGAGCCCGACCCTGCGTCTGATGGCGACTTTGTGAGGGCGCGAGTCCCTGAGTGTGAGGGAAGCGGCGCGTGTGTGACAAAGAGGGGAACCGTGGGCGTGAGGGCGACTCTGGATGGCGTGTGGGCCCCTGAGTGGGAGAGGGACTCCTGGGGAGCCGCGAGCGTGGGCGGGAGGGCTGGTGTGAGGTGGTGCGTGTGAGCGGGGTGGCGGGCTGCGGAGGAGGCCCGGCCTGTGGCCGGGAGGCAGCGGGTGTGAGAAAGCGGGATCTGCACGCGGGCGGACGGTGTGCGGGCTCCGGCGCGGGGGGTGGGGTGGGGGGTGCTCCTTTGAGTTCTGCCCGTGGTCACTCGTCCGGTTGGACCATCTCATCCCTTAACTGTCCGGAGTTTGCGGTGAAACATTCTGGAAAGTCTGCCCTGAGCGCTGAGCCGGGCGCTCCCCGTGTTGTGTAAGGGTCGGGATAAAGAGGAATCCACACTTGAGTGAACAGATGTGTTGGCGCACCTGTCTTGGGCGCTGAACTGTGGGTTAGATGACACGGTGGAAAAGAATTCAATCCCTGCCCTTCATGGGGGAAAACCATGGCCGCTCATCTAATCTAGCCCGGCTGTAGCTGCCACCCAGCCTCCGGTGCCAGCCTTGGGCGCCTTATCTCAAGGGAGCAGCCCCCCAGACTTGAAGATCGAGGAACTGTTTCCTGTGATTTTTGCTTCCTGTGAGACCCTTTAGGAAGTGCCCGGGCTGCCTACATTATGACTGAGGTCCTCTTCTGGCTGTGCTCTGTTTGTGCTTTCCAGCCTTGCACTCACATTTTCATTCAAGTCATTGTATTTGATTTTCCTTTCCTAGCAAATATGTGGAAAACCACGTGCCTGATTTTCTCCTATCTTTCTTCTGCACTTCCACCTCGTTCCTTGGCTGGCTGTGGACATATTTTTATTGCTGGCCAAAAGTGTATACCAGTGACTGATCTCCCAAGAACTTCTTGGTGGGGGCAATTTCCTGATCTCTGGGCTTCCCAGTAGTCCCTAGGATGTGGATCCCTTTCTACAAAAGTTATGCGAACAGTGCTGGTGGGACCTGGGACCCAGGGGCAGCTGCCTAGACATGCATGATCTGAGACGACCAGGCTAGTGCTCTAGCACTTTGGGGCTGGCTGCTTCCATTCTACCTGCTGCGGGTGTGATGGAACTTCTCAGTAATTGAGGGCTCTGCTATCGGGCATGGAAAATTTAGATTTTTACAACTGAAAGTACCATCCTGCTGCTTATTGGGTTTGTTTTGATAAATTATCTCTTATTTTTTGTTGCAGATATTAAATGGCCAGGAGAGACAAGTGGAATTATTTAGCCCTTGCTGTGGAGACTTCATTTTCTTCTTAATACCTGACCTGTTTATGATGAGGTGGCTTGCGCTAGTGTGATTTTCACTTATTTCTTGACAGGTGAATATTGTTACTGTGTTCTCTATCGGCTTTCTTTGATTTATATGCTTTATAAAGAGTTTTAGTTATTTGTATATAATATGAACATGGTACTAGTAAAGAGAATGGCTCACACATAATTAACAGCTCTTTTTTTAGTGTTATGTAACACTGAATTATTGTATAAATAAATTATATTATATTTCTTTCTAAAGAGTAATTATGGTGGCTTATAATTAAAGATACTTGTAATGAGCTTGTTGAAAAGAAACAAAACCATAAGCCATGGAAAAGACTACAAGGGTACTTCAAAAAGTTTGTGGAAAATGGAATTAAAAGATAAGTTTGTTGTCTTGCAAAAAGAAATTTGAAACCCATGCATTTTTTTTCACAGTACACATTTTCTATGAACTATTTTTTAAGACCCCCTCATGCCTGGATTTCAAAAAATGTGCCAAAATAAACCTACCTTTTAATTCCATTTTTTGTTAACTTAGTGAAGTGCTCTCTTAGGTAGCAAATAGTGTTGAAGTTAAGGTATCTAATCCACTGGGATTGGGAACTGAATTTGATCTTGAGTTTTCTGGTGTCTTAGGTAAAGAGACAAACATAAATAGTCACATAACTTTCACTTATAAGTTTAAGCATTAAAAAATAACTAGTGCATACTCAATTTGAAAAATATATAGAACTCAAAGAGGTGTAAAAAAGATAAGTTCTCTATGTTTTCACCGCAGTTGAGATTTTGGTGTGATGCTCAGCATCATTTTTTTCCTACTCATTGATTATGAAAGAAATGGTAATCCAGCTTTTATAACTTGCCTTATAATTAAACTTTGATCTGTTGTTTCCAAAAATTGTGTATGACAGTATCATGGTTAAGTTTTAATGGGAAAATTTTAGTGTTCTGGTAAATTCTTTTGTTGTTTGCTTCAGGAATATAGAATATAGGATGAAATCCTATTGGGAAACTGCATGTATCCTTACAAGCAGAACTTAATACTGGCTTTCCAAGATAGCTACATTGAATCATTTTACGAAAATTATTTTCAACAGAGATCTAAGAGATTTCACTATGTTAGAGAAAAAGAAATAGAGAGACTGATACTGTGGGTAAACCTCACATACTAATTTCTTAATTGGATAAAAATTGAAGACAGATATCCCAACTAGGAAGATGGTCTGTAGAATTTTGATGACCCTTCATAATACCAGGCTACCCACCCGGAAGTGCTGGCTTCATTAGGGGGCCCTTGAATAAGCGATTTTTTATCCCGTTGTTGCAGAGGGTCTGCAGATCTACTCTGTGAGCACAAGATAGACAATGTGTCTCACGCAGGTATGTGCTGCTTTCTTTGGAATGTGTGTAGATAACTATTGTGACTAATTAAATACAAGTGGATTCAAAATTATTACTGTAATCATAGTAGCTTTTTGCCATTTTTTTCTTCTCCATCAGTTGTTATTTAAAAAACAAGTACTATGACAGAATTACTGGTTGATTACATGCTTTTTTCCATCCTTTTGCTTATAACTTATTTATGTCTTTATGTTTAATGTAGATACATATTGGGTTTTGCTTTTTTTCCTAATATGATAATGTCTGTCTTTAAATTGATGTACTTAGATTATTTATATTTAATGTATTTATTGACATAATTGGATTAAAATCTCCCATCTTGTTTTTTCTATTTGTTTCATATTCCCTATAATTTTTGTTACTTTCTTCTTTTCCTGCCATCTTTTTGATTCTGGTTTTTAAAAAATGTTTATCTAATCTTTATTTATTTTCATCCACTGGAAAAGCTGAATGATAAAGACAAAGAGAAATCTTCCATTCATTCACCAAATGATTGCAACAGCCAGGGCTGGTCCAGGTTAAATCCAGGGGCCCAGAACTCCCTTTGGGTCTTATGTGGGTGGCAGGAACCCAACTACTTGGACCATCTTCCACTATCTTTCTGGGCACATTAGCAGAGACCTGGATCAGAAATAGATCCTCTTGGGGCCGGCATTGTGGCACAGCAGGTTATAGCCCTGGCCTGAAGTGCCAGCATCCCATATGGATGCTGGTTCTAGTCCCAGCTGCTCCTCTTCCAATCCAGCTCTCTGCTATGGCCTGGGAAGGCAGTGTAAGATGGCCCAAGTCCTTGGGCCCCTGCACCAACGTGGCAGACCTGGAAGAAGCTCTTGGCTCCTGGCTTCAGATCAGCGCAGCTCTGGCCACTGTGGCCATCTGGGGAGTGAACTAGCGGATGGAAGACCTCTCTCTCTCTCTGTAACTCTGTCTTTCAAAAAAAAAGATCCTGAAACTGGCGCCCAATAGGATGCTGGTGTTGTAGGAGGAATCTTAACCCGCTGCACCACAGTGCCAGCCCGTCTACCTTTAAAGAATATTGTGAAGCTGGGTGCTGTGGTGTAGCAGGTAAAGCCATCACCTGCAGTGCCAGCATCCCATATGGGCACTGTTTTGAATCCCAGCTGCTCCACTTCTGATCCAGCACACTGCTGTGGCCTGGGAAAGCAGTAAAAGATGGCCCAAGTCCTTGGGCCCCTGCACCCGTGTGGAGACCCAGAAGAACCTCCTGGCTCCTGGCTTGGGATTGGCTTAGCCGTTGAGGCCATCACGGAGGATGAAACAGTGGATGCAAGACCTCTCTCTCTCTCTGCCTCTCCCTCTCTGTAACTCTGACTTTCAAATAAATAAATAAATCTTTAAAAAATAAAAGAATATTGTATCAATTCACATGTAATCCAGGAAACTTAACAACAGCACCTCTCAATTCTCCCTATCATTTTGCATATATTATATGTAAATTTTTCAGAGAGAGGGAGCAACAGAAATCCTCTACCTCTGGTTCACTCCCCAAATAGCTTCAAAAGCCAGATTTGGGCCAGGCCAAAGCCAGGAGCCTGGAATTCCATCCTGGTATCCAACATGGGTAACAGAGGCCCAAACACTTGGGCCATCTTCTACTGCCTTCCCAAGCCATTAGTAGGGAGCTGGATCGGAAGTGGAACAGCCAGAACTCAAATGGGTGTTCGGATATTGGATGCTGGTGTTGCAGGCGGAAGCTTAACCCACTGTGCCACAATGCCAGCCCCAGCAGCTATATATATATATATATATATTTTTTTTTTTTTTTTTTTTTTTTTTTTTTTGGACAGGCAGAGTGGACAGTGAGAGAGAGAGAGAGACAGAGAGAAAGGTCTTCCTTCGCCCTTGGTTCACCCTCCAATGGCTGCTGCGGCCGGCGCACTGCGGCTGGCACACCACGCTGATCCGAAGCCAGGAGCCAGGTGCTTATCCTGGTCTCCCATGGGGTGCAGGGCCAAGTACTTGGGCCATCCTCCACTGCACTCTTGGGTCACAGCAGAGAGCTGGCCTGGAAGAGAGGCAACCGGGACAGAATCCGGTGCCCCAACTGGGACTAGAACCCGGTGTGCTGGCGCCACAGGCGGAGGATTAACCTATTGAGCTGCGGTGCCAGCCCCCAGCAGCTATATTCTAAAGCAGTTAAAAATAAATATAAAATGTATTTTTTAAAATATTTACCTCAGACCACTCAATACTGTGCCATAGCTCTTGAGATGTTTTTTCACTTTTCCCATTTTGAATCTTAGGCTTTTCATCTCTTTGTTGAAATTCCATATTTGTTCCTACATGCTGTCCAACTTTTTCATTAAGGCCTTTAATGTATTAATCATAGTTATTTTAAGTTCTTTGTTTGTTGTTTCCAATATCTGGGTCATCCTAAATCTGGTCCTGTTTATCATTTTGCTTCTTTATAGTGGGTTGATTTTCTTGCCTTTTTGTGTAGCTTGTTATTTGTTATTAATTGCCAGACATAGTATGTAGAATAGTAGGGAGTGAGGGACACTGGGTTTGTTCTGGGGAGTATGCCTTTTCTTTTAATAGGTTATTAGTATGAGATTTTGAGTCAGTGAAGAGGTGAATTGTGTTTTGGTTTTACTGTTGCTGTGGTTACCTTAGGTGCACCATTGGCTTTAAATTCCTTGGGTGTTTCCTTTTGTTCTTGTTTTGTTCTTTGCTGGAGGTAGACTTTTTCTCAATGTTTCAGCTCCACCCTTTGCTACCAGTCTCAGTGGCAAAGGTTCTTGTTTGTTTCTGGGTCCTTGCTAACCTGGTGGTAGGAATTAGGGGGTTCTTCCTGTTTTCCTGGTTCAGCCTCAGTCATAGGCAGGCCCTGTTTCCTTGGGACTTGGGGCTGGCCTGAGTGATTCTGTACTCCCCCTAAAGGTAGGATTAATGGTCTTGACCAGAATTTCCTGTCTTTCCCCTCCCCAAGGCATTGAATTTTTTTTTTCCTTTACCCATTCCCCAGCTACCATGGGAGTGGCCAGAATGCTGCCCGTTCTTTCTCCAGGAGTTTACTGTTTTTTTTTTTTTCAAAGGAGAGTATAGGTGTACCTTTGTGTTTTCCCTCCTCCGGGCTAGCACCACAGATTGTTCTTGGGGTGAGGGAGGCAAGATGTCTGTATATGAGAGAAGCTTTCTGGGTTTCCTGTTAGCACTCAGTGAGGTTTGTGGAGAAAAAAAATATGAATGTCTGTGGCTCTTGCTAACTCACATTTGACCCTTAGAATGTGCTTTAAAAATTATACCTGAATTCTTACTTGCCTATGTGGTGCTTGCCTCGTTTCCCTGCTGCCACAGGTGAACTATGGCTTGCCTTTCTCTCTCTCTCTCTTTTTTTTAAAAGATTTATTTATTTATTTGAAAGAGTTACACAGAGAGAGGAGAGGCAGAGAGAGAGAGAGAGAGAGAGGTCTTCCACCTGCTGGTTTACTCCCCAGTTGGCCACAGTGGCCAGAGCTGCGCTGATCTGAAGCCAGGAGCCAGGAGCTTCCTCCAGGTCTCCCACTTGGGTGCAGAGGCCCAAGGACCTGGGCCATCTTCTACTGCCTTCCCAGGCCATAGCAGAGAGCTGGATTGGAAGTGGAGCAGCTGGATCTTGAATGGTGCCTGTATGGGATGCCGGCGCTTCAGCGCTTCAGGCCAGGGCCTTAACCTGCTGCGCCACAGGCCTCTTGCCTTTCTCTCTTCTTGCACCTTTAGTTTCAGTGTAGTTGGTTGCCCTGTATCCTCAACTTTCTGATGGCTTCAGGAAAAATTTTGGTTTTCTATGCTATTTCGCCTTTTTTTTTTTTTTTTTTGTCTTGGAGTGGAAGTGATACTTTTCCCAGCTGTCCACATCCTAAGTAGAAGGTAGAAGTTGATAACTTTCCATTTTATACTAGATTTTATCTTACAGTGAAATGATTTATTTATTTACTTGAGAGGCAGAGTTACAGAGAGAAAGGGAGAGACAGAGGGAGAGGTCTTGCATCCACTGGTCCCTGTTTACTGTGCATTTTTCTTTTCTTTTTTTTTTTTTTTTTTAAGATTTCTTCATCTCTTTGAGAGGCAGATTTACAGAGAGAGAGAGAGAGTTCCTCCATCCACTGGATCACTCCCCAAATGGCCACAATGGCTAGAGCTGTGACAATCTGAAGCCAGGAGCTTCCTCCCAGTCTCCCTTGTTTTCAGGGGCCCAAGGACCTGGACCATCTTCCACTGCTTTCCCAGGCCATAGCAGAGAGCTGGATCAGAAGTAGAGCAGCCGGGACCTGAACTGGTGGCCGTGTGGGATGTTGACACTGTAGGTGGAGGCTTTACCCGCTATGCTACAGTGCATTTTACAAAAGAGTTTCATATTGTCTAATTTGAACCTCATGAAAGATGAATGAGGCTGTTAGGGAAGTTATCTCAGTGTCAGAGAAGGGTAAGGTACAGCTACCTGGTGAGCTCTGGTCTCTGACTGTGGCATTTCTTATCTCATGCCATCTCATTTTCATGCTGTCATACTGGCTGGGAGAGCATGGTCCCTACCAGTCTTGTTCACATCTGTGTCCCCAGCACAGGGTCTGGCGTAATGTAGGTGCTTGGCAGATTATGTAGAGATGTATGAGGTGAGGTTTACCTGTTCCCAAATTAGCCATCTGCTCTTGGGGAGCTGCTGAGGTTCCATTACAACTATGTTTTTGGGTGGTCAGCAAAGAGATGGGGACTTTAATTACTTTAGCCAAGGATGGTCCCTGATGACTGTTAGTTTTTTTTTAATTGAATGAAGAGAAAAGTCTTACCTGCCCTCAGTTGTGTGACTCTGCCTCTCTCCTTGGCTTAAAGAGTCATTCCTTTAACCTTTCAGCAGGAACCTTGTCCTTATTCAGGTCCTGGCAACAGGACTTGAGGCGGGAGGGTCTGTGACAGTATCCCACCCCTCCAAATAAGACCACTGGATAGTTTCACCAGAGTGTCAGACACTCTTAATAAAACCACATCAGAGGAGCCAGCACGGTAGCATAGTGGGTAAAGCCGCCGCCTGAAGTGCTGGCATCCCTTATAGGCACCTGTTCGAGTACCAGTTGCTCCACTTCCGATGCAGCTCTCTGCTATGGCCTTGGAAAGCATGGAAGATGGCCCAAGTGCTTGGGTCCCTGTACCCGCTTGGGAGACCTTGAAGAAGCTCCTGGCTCCTGGCTTCAGATTGGTGCAACTCCGGCCATTGTGGCCAGTTAGGGAGTGAACCAGCAGATGGAAGATCTCTCTTTCTTTCTGCCTCTCCTTCTCTCTCTGTGTAACTCTGACTTTCAAATAAATAAATAAATCTTTAAAAAAATAAATAAATAAAACCACATCAGAGACACCAATGTCAAGTTATACAAATACAAAATCAACACTTGGTAGCCCCAGGTTCCTTCCCCAAGCCAGGGTTTGATGGACTAGGAGAAGCTGGTATGGTCCCTGAGGTGGGTTTCTCTGCTTGTCTCTGTTGAGTTGGATAGAGAAGGTAACCTAGGCCTCTGCAGTTGAGTCTAGAAAACAGGCTTCCCAGCTGTTTACCGGTTTAGTTCCCACGCCAGTGCTCACCAGCAGGCTCTTGAAAACAAGAATGTTCCCGCAGGCCTGCATAGAGAAACCTGCATGGCTTAGTGCCAGAAGTGAAGTGAGACATGGTGTTAGCTTAAAGCCAAGCCTTGCCTAAGCAGGTAGGCTGGCACAATTCCTCTTGGACTGCGAAAGGCTCGCTAGTGCTCTGGAAGAGCTTTCTCATTTGGGCTCAAGACCAGACTCTGGAAAGGTATTAGGATAAGTAAGGCAGAGTTTTTGCGCAGTCTGTGGAAACTGGTTTCCACTGAGAACTGCTCACTCTCAAGTGACTGAGCTCCTTGAGACCACCAGGTTCTGACACATGCATTTTTATGGAGTGCAGGAGAGGCTTCTGGGAACATGATACACTGATCCTGTTCTATCTAGAAATCATCCCTGTGATCTTACAGGACTGACTCCTGGGTAAAAATCAAATGGCCCACCAGATTCCTTTCTCCTGAAGGTGAGGTGGGATCAGGAATCTGAATCATGACTGCTACAGGAACTGAGGGAGAGAGAAAGCCATGTTGAGTGTGGGTTGGGTCAGGGTAGTAAGATGGGTGTTGTGGGCACAACAGCTCATGAGTGTTCATTTTCATGACGATCTTCTTACAGTCTCTGTAATAGAGATATACTCTGGTGTGGCATCTCTTAGCCCTTCCCAAAGTTCTTCACTGGCCTGAGAGTATCTGTAGTTCTCACCACATGTAGCTGGACATGGCAGAAGGCTCTCTTTATGTTTGGGTAGGGATGAGTGGGCGGGATTACCTGGGTGTGTTCAGTGAGGCCTATCAGGCCAGTGAGGGTTGTGTACCAGATACAGGTGCAAGGACTCTGATGTATTTTGTGGGGGCAGGTTTGTGGGATTTAAGCGGATAAGAACAGATAAAACTAATACTTCCAGGATAGTCAGTGCTATAAATAAACCTAATGCCAGCCTACCCTGGATGGCAAGATAGGTACGATTTGTCATAAGTCATTGTTTTGTCATGGGGTCTTTCTTAAGAGCAATGGAGGACTGCCTCCATGTCCTTGTGTTCTGTGGTAGCAACTGAGTGTGTGTGTGTCATGTCCCTAAGCAGGAGGTAGGGAGGAATATCTGCCTGCCTTGCAAGTCTTAAACCAGAGCCTTACCAAATCCTACCCTAGACTGACATACTTGTATTCTTTGCCAGGCTACAGTAAGCACAGGTGTGCAAGAACCACTTGCCATGGAAACCAGGGAGCTTGGAAGCCCCACACCCACCTACCATCTCCTTCCAGAAGCCAGCCAGCCCAGGGTGGAAGAAGATGTCAGCCCACCACCTAAAGGGTCCCCGGAAACTATGCAGCTGAAGAAGGAGATCTCCCTGCTGAATGGGGTCAGCCTGGTGGTGGGCAACATGATCGGCTCAGGGATCTTTGTTTCACCTAAGGGTGTGCTGGAGTACACTGCCTCCTATGGGTTGTCACTGACCGTGTGGGCAATTGGTGGGCTTTTCTCCGTTGTGGGTGCCCTTTGCTATGCAGAGCTGGGGACCACCATTACCAAGTCAGGGGCCAGCTATGCTTATATTCTAGAGGCCTTTGGGGGCTTCATTGCCTTCATCCGCCTGTGGGCCTCACTGCTAATCGTTGAGCCTACCAGTCAGGCCATCATCGCCATCACCTTTGCCAACTACATCATCCAGCCCTCCTTCCCCACCTGTAATCCCCCGTACCTGGCCTGCCGTCTCCTCGCTGCTGCTTGCATATGTAAGTCTGGGGGCTGAATGTGAGATGTGTGGGGGTGTGGGGTGCTGTAATAATGGTATTGGTACCTTATATTTGAAGAGCCTAATTTGCTCTTGGAGGGGAGGGAAGCACCTTGTCTTTTGAAGAAGTAGTTTCACCAAAGTCGTTTGATCCTTAGATATAAGTAAGTATAAAGGATGGGGATGGGAGAAGTTTGAATTTGTTCTTGGATTTTGGTGCCTCTCATTCCTCCTAATCTTGGCTGATCCTGAGTTCTGTTCCCTAGTCTATGTGACAGGTTGGTGCATGTCTTGTATTTGTCTTGTCAGGTGTTTAGATTGGAGTCCACATCACTAGTTGTAGTTTAACACAAAAATCCATCAGCCTTGAGGCCTTTATTCTGCTTCTCAAAGAGAAATCAATTATTTTACTTCCCAGCTTTTCACCTTAAACCAGTTAAAAGGCATCAGTGAGGGAAATAGTCTTCAGACTGGGGGATCCCAAGGCATTATCCCTCAGGTCCGCAGGACTGCCCTCCTTCTCGCCGCTGCCATTCCATGGCCCATTGTTAGCAGAAGACATCACATCAACATGGCTTTTCCATTAATGTTCAGATTTCTTTACACAGATTTTGTAAACAAACTCTTCCTGTACCCAGTGAGAGAAAGGTAGCTTCTACTCTACCTCTGAGTCTCTGAGGACAGAGCCCGAGATATCCGAGTGGATTCCTGTTTGTTTTCCTTTCTCTTACAGGGTAGTAAGGAGGGATTCTGTGTGAAACATTCGAAGGAGAGGAGATTACAGTGAAGCTCCCTATCCTTGCAGAGCTAGTGTTTTAGCTGAGAAGTGGCCTAGATTGCCTGTGTTCTTTAGTACTGTGCTGCCAGAGACAATTATATGCTGTTCTTTCCATATCTCTGCTTGCAGAAGCTTTGGCAGTATATATCATTTATCCACGATGTTAAAAATAGACTGAGGGTGTCTTGGAGTTAGCAATAAAGGATTGTACAGTACACTGTGTCTTCTGACTTTAAGAAATTTGTTAAAGACAAACATTAAAGGGAACCCCCTTTTACATCATTTGGCATAGCGAGAGGAAACAGGTACCCATGAGAGAGGGAAAGGTGGGTGCATGTTATGAAGTGTTCTTTAGAAGCAACATTTTTTTAAAGTAGTATTTTTTTTTTAATTAAAAGGCAATATTGGCCAGTGCTGTGGCTCAATAGGCTAATCTTCCACCTTGTGGCGCTGGCACACCGGGTTCTAGTCCCGGTCGGGGCGCCAGATTCTGTCCCGGTTGCCCCTCTTCCAGGCCAGCTCTCTGCTATGGCCCGGGAGTGCAGTGGAGGATGGCCCAAGTGCTTGGGCCCTGCACCCCATGGGATACCAGGAGAAGCACCTGGCTCCTGCCTTCGGATCAGCGCGATGCGCTGGCTGCAGCGCGCCGGCCGCGGCGGCCGTTGGAGGGTGAACCAACGGCAAAAGGAAGACCTTTTTCTTGTCTCTCTGTCTCTCACTGTCCACTCTGCCTGTCAAAAAAAAAAAAAAAGGAAAAAAGGAAAGGTCTTCCTTTGCCGTTGGTTCACCCTCCAATGGCCACCACGGCCGGCACGCTGCGGCTGGTGCATCACTCTGATCCGAAGCCAGGAGCCAGGTGTTTCTCCTGGTCTCCCATGCGGGTGCAGGGCCCAAGCACTTGGGCCATCCTCCACTGCACTCCCTGGCCACAGCAGAGAGCTGGCCTAGAAGAGGGGCCACTGGGACAGAATCCGGCGCCCCGACCGGGACTAGAACCCGGTGTGCCGGTGCCACAGGCACCGGCCGTGTACCTCTTTTTAAATTTAAATTTTTAATCTTTTATTAAATATTCTTAGAAAACATGATTTAGGTACACATAATTAATTCCCAGGCAGTGTAGTAAAGTCTGAAGGCTCCTATGCCAGAGTGAATTTGATTTCCAGCTTTACTGTTAACTTGGGGAGTTGATTAATAGCTACCTCAGTTTACTTGTAAAATGAGAACATTGATAGTGCCTTGCTGAAAAGATTGTTGTGAGGAATAAGTGAATAAATACGTGTGTAAGTGCTTTTTTTGCCAGACATATAGTAAATGCTTTATAATATTATTATAAATAATGCTGTTGTGTTAATGTTTGTACATACAACATTTTAGGTTTCTGCCTAATTTCTTAGGATAGGGTTATGTAACGGAAACCCTGTCTCAAAGGAAATAAATTATTCTAAGATTCTCATATGTTACCCAGTTGCTTTGTTGAAGTTTTTGTGTTTACAGTCCTGTCTGAGCCTCTGACAGTGCCCATGCATTGGTCTGCGATGACCATAGGATTCAAAGAACATCAAGTGACAGGATTTGTTATATATAACTTTTGTTACATAGGATAATTGTGTATAATTTTAAACATTATTTATACATTTTTAATTTTTTTATCTTTTAAATATGTATTTATTTATTTCAAAGGCAGAGCTCCAGAGAGTCAGAGTCAGAGAGAAAGAGAGGTCTTCCATCCGCTGATTCACTCCCCAGATGGTTGCAACGGCTGGAGCTGGGCCAATCTGAAGCCAGGAGCATGGAGCTTCTTCCAGGTCTCCCATATGTGTGCAGGGGCCCAAGGACTTGAGCCATCTTTCACTGCCTTCCCAGGCCATAGCAGAGAGCTGGACCAGAGTGGAACAGCCAAGACTTGAACCGGTTCCCACATGAGATGCTGGCACTGCAGGCAGCGGCTTTACCAGCTACACCACAGCACTGGCCTGTATTTATACATTTTTATTTAATTGAAAGGCAAAGAGACAGAGAGATCTCTTCTATTTGCTTATTTATTTTCTAAATTTCCACATTTAGCCAAACCAAAGCCAGGAGCCTGGAACTCAATCCAGGTCTCTCACATGAATGGCAGGGATCCAAGTACTTGAACCATCACCACCTGCTGCTTTCCAGGGAGCTCATTAGTGGAAAGCTCGAATCTGGAGTGGAGCCAGGACTCAAACCAAGCATTCTTTTAAGTTTTTTTTTTTTCTTTCGTTTAAAGATTTATTTGTTTGGCAGAGTTACAGAGAGAGAGGGAGGGAGCAAGAGAGAGAGATTGAGCTCAAGATCTGGTTCACGCCCCAGACAGCTGCAACGGCCAGAGCTGGACCTGGCCGAAGCCTGGAACTCCCATGTTGGGGGGGTGACAGGGGCCAATACCATCAGCACTACTTTGCAGGATCTGTATTAAGAGGAAGCTGGAAAAAAAAAAATAGAGGAAACTGGAGTCAGGAGCTAGAGCCAGATATCAAACCCAGGTACTCTGATGTGGGATGTAAATGTCTTTTTTGTCTGTTTGTTTAAGATTTATTTATTTATTTGAAAGGCAGAGTTACAAACAGGCAGAGCCGGAGATAGAGAGAGACAGATCTTCCATCTGCTGGTTCACTCCCCAAATGGCTGTATCGACCGGAAATGGGTCAGAGCTGAGCCGATCCAAAGCCAGGAGCCAGGAGCTTCCTCCCGGTCTTCCACGCATGTATATGGGCTCTAGCACTTGGGCCAATGTTGTACTGCTTTCCCAGGCCATAGCAGAGAGCTGGATTGGCAGAGGAGCAGCTGGGACTCAAACTGGCGCCCATATGGGATGCTGGCGCTGCAGGCAGGGGATTTACCTGCTACACCACAGCGCTGCCACCCACCCCCCTTTAAATTTATTTTATTTTAGTTGAAATGCGGAGTCACAGAGAGAGAAAGGGAAAGAGAGAGAGAGAGAGATCTTCCATACACTGGTTCACTCCCTAAATAGCCACAGTGACCCAGGTTGGGCCAGGCCAGAGCCAGGAACCAGGAGCTTCTTCTGAGTCTCCTACATGTGTGCAGGGACCCAAGCACTTTGTCCATCTTCTGATGCTTTCCCACATGCATTAGAAGGGAGCTGGATTGGAAGTGAAGCAGCTGGGGCTAGAACTGGCTCCCATATGAGTTGTCAGCCTTGCAGGTGGTGGCTTAACCCGCTATGCCACAATTCTGGCCCTACCTTGAAGGTTCTAACATGGAAGTCAGTTAATTGCTCACAAAGTGAGATCAAAGCCCAGGGCCTACTCATATCTGAGACTCCATTCCTCTTGAGACTTTCTTAAAAGGCGGTGAGGAGGTGAAGGAACATGAAAGGGAAGAAGATTGGGGTGAAGAAACAATGTGTGATCCCTAATGTCTTTCCATTTTCTCTTACTGACTTGGACTCAGGCCTGGCTAAGGTTCTGAGTAGAAAGGATACCCATAGTTTGGTCAGTTGTTATAGACAGGCTACTTTCACCTTCTAAGAATGACCTAGGCCTAAGGAGGACTGGGTCTTCATTTTTTTTTTCTTTACCTGTCATCTCATTTCCAGTTTCCAGGGCTCAATCTGGTCATTTTTTTTTTTTTTTAAGATTTATTTATTTATTTGAAAGTGAGAGTTACAGAGGGAGAGAGAGACAGAGACCTTCCAGCCACTGGTTTGCTCCCCAAGTGGCTGCAACAGACACGGCTGAGACAAGCCAAAGCCAGGAGCTTCATCCAGGTCTCCCATGTGGGTGGCAGAGGCCCAAGCACTTGGGCCATCTTCTGCAGCTTTTCCCAGGCCATTAGCTGGGAATTGGATTGGAACTGGAGAAGCTGAGACATGAACTGGCGCCCATATAGAATGCCAGTGTCGCAGGTGGTGGCTTTATCTCTAAGCCGCTAGGCCGGCCCCAGGTTTTCATTTTGGTTGCATGGTTTGAATGTTTTCATAAAAAGACAAACTATTTGTAAAATTAAAATTAAGGATACTTTTAAAAGAGGCATGTGCATTACATATTCATACCCTTCTAGGAGGTGGCTAGTGATTATGGTATCTTTATTTGAAGGGTTCATCTCCCCTGAGCTGTTGTAGAACATTTCACTCCTAACAGACTTACAGTTGCCATCCTCCCCTTTGTTTTTTAGAATAGCACTCCTTTGTCCTTAAGTGCCCCTTAGTAACACCCGGACTATTTGTGGGAGGAATT